TCAGTAGCAGTTGCGTGACGTTTACAGGTCATGCAAAACTGTCGGCGGATGTCGGTTTATAGTATACCGGGTGACACAGGAGATATGTAACAGCATGTAGTTTTTTTCATTGGAGAGATAACAATTTGAAATTCGCAAGGGTTATATTATCGATGATGGCACTTCAACTGAACCCAATGACAATTTTTTCAACCACCTGTTCGATTGGAATGGATGTATATTTCTGTAGTCTATCTTATTCGCCTTAAAATTCTCTATTCAACTATGTATCACAATCTGATATTTGTTCATTAATTGGCTGTCATATTACATTTTATTGAAATGTATGAAGTTGGCTGTGGCCCGAATACAATGACATTTCTATGCTTGATAGGCTTAGAAATCCAAAAATCATTACTTAGACGATATTATTAGAATATTTTCCATACCCTTATCGGTTCCAGAAGATTGCCAATAATTTCATTGAGTTTTAAAAAAATCATCCGAAAATAACTCGTATTAACTATTTGATAAATGTTTGGGGATACCGTTCAAAAAACAATTTTAATAAAATATCTGCATTATATAAAAAGACATTGAAAGTACTGTATCGTTTACCATATGATACACCAACAAATCAATTATATAAAATAACTGAATCATTCTCATTAGAAGAAATGTTCAAAATCGAAAGACTGAAAATTACATACATCATAAATAAAAGATTGAAATCTAATTTTATTTTAACACGAAACAATGAAATTCATAATTATCAAACTATTTCATCTTGATATCGCTAATACTTCTATAGGCCAAAAAAGATTCACCCACGCTGCTCTCTTACAAATTACCAGATAATATAAAAAATTGCAGAAATACAATAAAATTCAAATACCATCTTAAAAAATTTATCATTTCTGAACGAAATAGATGACTTCACCAATATGAAATGATTTGTCAAAATTTAATAATTACTGTTTTCAAATATTTTATTATTCATCAGTTTATTATAATTGTATAGTTTTAGGTATTATTGTTAACTATACTTCCTTATACCAGAACTTGATTCTGACTGGAAGTAACATTTTCAATAAATAAATAATTAAGCATCGAAATTTCATTGCATTCGGGCCACAGCCAACTTCATGTATTTTTTGAATTGACTCAGCCGTTACTTGATGGAAATCAATGGCAAATGTAAAAACTTCACAAACGATAAGATTTCCACAAAATTCTCAAATACACGACATGTCCTGAATATTTCAAAATCTTTGAAAGGTACTATTCTAAAATTCGGGAGGGGTAATTTACTATCATGAATGTGCGTGAAAAAAATTGTCATACCAATATGATCAATGTACAGGGAGATGAATATTTCACATTTTCTTTGACGAAAATTGATGCAACTTTTTTGGATTACGCCACTGACCATATTTTGATATTACAATGAACGACTTGTTTGCAATGTCAGGATTACCTATCATATTGCAAATTTCTACCTCATTTGTATTGAGTTATTGACCACAATATCCATGTTCACCATTTCGCAAGCTCATCATATGATGTGGGAGAGGTGGGCGTTTCCAAATTTCATTCTTTTTTTTTTCGCAAAAAAGTTTGTTGAAAAAAAATAATTTGAAGATGATTAACAACCTTATCATATGCTTAAGTAGTTCATAAACATGATTATTGTGGTGAATAACTCAACACAAATGAGGTAAAAGCTTGCAAAAACAAGGAGATAGGAGGAGCACGAAAATTAATTACGTTAGATATCTCGAAAACCAAGAAAAATTATGAAAAACTGAGGTTAGGAAAAATTAGGTAATTGATTTTGTCATTCATTCTCCCTTTATATTTTGCTTGCACATTCAGGATAGCAAATTGTCTCACACGAGTTTTAGGTCAGTAGGTACCTTTGAAGGATTTTGAAATATTCAAGAAAATCTGGAAATAACTCTTCAACGCCCTCTAACGGCTCAATGGTGCATTTTCCTATAGAGATAAGACTAATCGGCCTATTTTGGTCACTAGTTCACCCTGTAGAATTTATGGTACGTTGATCTGGGATCCCCTGTCAGCTATTACCTGGTAAATCCATTGACTGGCTGAAAAATCTGTGTTCCGAAATATAAAATCAAAAATACATAATCGCCTTCATCAGTATTCAGCAGCAGTTGATCAGCTGGTGAAATTTGAATATTATTCTCAGCGTCAATTATTTTAATAACAGGCATTTTCTGATATCAAATATGATATTATTAATTTATTATTGATAAGACAATACTTAATGTTGAAGAAGCAACGGAAATAAATGTGAAATTCTTTCCCCCTCTAAAATAATGACAGTTCATTGTACCCACACTACCTTTTGATGGTCAGAATTTTCAGCAGAATAATGAGTCGAAATATTTGGAATGAATCCGCGATATCCACGGAGTGAGCGACATCTACATTTATAAAGTTACACTGAACTCCGGGAAAACAATCAAGTGAAACAAGTCAAAGGAAATGTGTCATTGATAAGATGGGTATAATGTCACTTTATGTGGTAATATCATTGTGGTGATATATTATCGAATATATCCCTTTGTTCACATAAATTGTTAATTTTGCATTCACAGATTTTTTATGACGAGTAATAATATACATCAGAAATTTGGTTGTTGCACTTCTCAAAAAACCAGGAATTGGCGAATGAATGGAAAAACAGATTGGAAATCAGAAAACCGATCAGTCAATATATCTGTGTTAGCAGTGAACACTTCAGTTTAGGAAATTTCACACCAAGTGATTGGGTGTAATTCAATTCATTGTTCGACGAGGCAAATAACCAGGAAAGTACCTATAGTTGTTTTCTGTTGAATATTCCGAATATATATTTTTATGAGAAAGATACTGTTGATTCCCAACTTCAGAAGATTTTATTTCAAATTCAATATCTACCTAACCGATTTACATATATCAGTAGAGTAGAGCTACAATAACATGCTTACAGAAGCCAGATTGGCCTGCTTTACAACTGCATATACATATCCACTGAGTCATAGATGCAATCCCAAATTCAATTTTATTTCGTGTGGATGAAATTTCAATGCAGATCTTGGTAAACAAAGACAAAAAATTCGTCTATTTTCTACATCTTCTACACCTGGCACAGGATAACATGGTTGGTATTGAATCTGCTTCCCCTTCGGCCCCAGGCCTATTTTTTCCACTCAAATTCTCAATATGATAAGCTAAATTTATGTTCACAATATTCATTTGGAAAATTATAATTTGGATGTCGAGATAAACCACCAAAGGCACATCTCAGAAATGACATATAATATGACATCAAGATGACATTCCCTTTGTTTTCCCGTAGTTTTGGTGTGACACCTGGTGCCGATGGTGATCGCGAATAGAATGTCTGTTCACAAGTATCCGTCACTTTCAGTGTTTTTTTTATTTCGGAATAAAAATTCAGCAGATTCAGTAATGTCAGTTGAATTCGGAATATAGCCCTGATCATTTTTTTCAAGCAATACTGTCACATTGCCATGCTGTTTCTGAATAAAACTATCCAATCACTGGAATGCAAGGGAAAACAGCAGTCACCGAGTAACTCAATCAATGCTATGGGTTCGAACCAAAAAAATTCATATTGCGCCAGTGAATTGTTAGAGCCAGTCCAACTCACAGGCTGCTCCTGATATTGATTGTGATTGTTACAATGAGCGTTGAAATAATGACTAGAAAATAAATTAATGGGGTGGTGTGGTATGAAGACTACACATATCTCTCCAGTATAGGAAAGGTTGGTGGAATACAAAAACTCTGACAATATATTTACAAACCTCTATTCAATGAATCAGTCACCTCAGTTAGTGGAGAAAATACATGCACGTTACCCAAAGTTCCTGGCAAGTACCAGACCAGTTATATCCTCCGATGTCCCGTTGTGATCACAAGGGGCTGACAAATGGAAGTGGTCCTGAAAAATATATATTAATGGGCTCGAGATCAGTGTCTCTAATTACTAGCCCAACACTCTATATAAAGGTTTGATAAATATCACTGTTTAATATAAAATGTATGATGAAATTTAGATTGAAAAGTTCTATGCAAATTATTTCCCGGAAACGGTAGTGTGAAGTTTGAAAAATAGAATTATGAGGTTGAGATACACAGATATATCTACATATATATATATTTACGGTCCTGTCCGTAACCAGTCCAAGAACTACCTATCCTGAATATTGATGAGGATGCCGCACGTGTGTCAATTCAGGGTTGGTTAGACGTATCCTCCAACGAACTAGTGGCGTAACCTCAAAGACCTCAGCCTGATCTAGAGATTCAGAGTCAGATGTACCTGTTTCAGCTCGATGGTAGAATTAACCCGAAGGGGGTAGGAGTGAACCGTATGATAATGTAGAATTAAACATTGCCAAATTCTCAAACATACTGTACTAACGGTACATACCTCAGCGTCTGGAGAGTTCAAAATGGCGGCATGTGACAACTCGTAAAAATCCCCAATATGGGAAATCTTCCTTTGTATGACAAATCACAATAACTCTACTAGTCCACAATAATAAAAGGAAGATTGTACATACAGGTAATCAATAGAAATCCACTATAAGTGATAATATATGATTATTGAAACCTGCTGCGGTATCACAAGCCGACTCTCGTATCGTCACCACAGGAAAGGAAAACTTCACTTCAATTATGACAACTGTCAAACATTTGCCAAACCTTAGATGTTTATCGGTCACCAAGGGTCCATAACAACGAAAAATAGCCAAATGCACAAAAATATTACAAGGTGATCATAAAAACATAATGCACGATATATTCTTCAACGAACGAACGTTTTTGGTATGCACAATGAGGATCATAGTAATAGTAGTAGTGTACGTAGCAGTAAATGAAGCAAACTCATGACTAATGAATAAAATGAGTACTTATAATTTTACTGAATTTGAACTGTAACAACATCACTTTGATAACACCGTTTTCGTCTCTCCTTTCAGGCCATCCACAGCAACCGAGAATCGCCTTTCAATGCGCTGCCGCCGCCCTATCCAAGCAAGCAACCCCCCGTCACCATATCCAGCCCTCTGCTGGTGAACCTCCTCCAGAACGATGGGTCCAAAGAGCCGAGCGGCGGCGGCGGCGTCTCCAAGGCGTCGAAGCCCCCCCATCTGCCGCCTAGCGTCTCTCCCGCCCCCAATCTCCATCTCCACAATCTCCACCACGCCAACGTGCCGCCTAGCAATTGTGCATCACCAAGCGCCTTATCAACTAATACTTCCATTAGGCAGAATAGCACCATACTGACAAGTACAACGGCGGCGGGCGGGATGAGCAAACCGCCGCCACCGCCCCCGCCCCCGCAATATCACCGACCGATGTCGTCTTCTTCGTTGGTGAGTAGTCTTGTGTAGTTCGCGAACGTACTAGTTCTAGAGCGCTCCCCGAGGTGAACTACGGGAACTAGTTTGCTGGCAATCTTGTTTTCAGTTCGTTAGTTCACTCCAAGGTTAGGGGGCCGAGCGACAGCCGACCTGCGACCGCTCTGATCGAATGATCATGCGATTGGGATCGTGTCATGTGTCCGGAGATTGTCCGCTCTCCATCTCGGTTTCGGTTCCGTTCACCGTTCTCTTGAGATTGTGTGTTCTCGTTCGGCAGGCAATGTTACTGATTACGGAGGTGCTTATATTTTCTATTCACCATAGAAAATAACACGTCGCCCCTCCTGAACCAAACTGTTAGGTTACAAGTTAGCCATCAATTCGATTGATGTTTTATTTTCACACCTTCCCTATTCCTAATTTTTAAACACCATACTACCAAATAAGCAAGACATCCCGTTCTCGCTCCTGAGACTCCCTGCCAACGAAAAGAACTAACGAACTAGAAGAGCGAACTGGTTCGCCATTGGAGAACGAACTAAATTGAGCGATCTCTAAAGTGAACTAAAATGCCCAACACTAATGGTGAGTGCTTTTCTTTCGTTCATTTCTAGTGATGTAAAGGTGGGAAAGTTCCCTTTGTGGTGTGGGGAACTTGCAAAATATCGTTCTTCAGCATGAACGACAAATTTCAGCAGGAACGAGAATTTTACTTGATGGAAATTCATGGCAAATGTATAACCTCACAAACGATAAGATTTCCACAAAATTCTCAAACACACGACATGTTTTGCTAACACACTAGCTTCGTCAGGTGATATACTGGTACAATGAACTAAACTAACGTTGGCTTGCTTAACTTTTATATATCCTACTTTCCCAACCTGAAGGATTAGTTACCCAACATACTAAAAAATTCTGATATTTTACTTAACGATCAATTAGACCTCAATAGTTCACCACTGTTGAATTTGTTTTCTTAGTAAGTAATAATAATGTTTTTGCTATCAACTCTTTCAAGTTAATCCGGTACACCATATTTTAATGTACATATTGTGCCTAATCTCCGAAAATGGAGGTTTATTGTACCTGTCCACAGGTAACTGTGGTTTTTCTGGAGCACATGAAAGATATATGATATATGGAAATAATATGTTCATAATAATTGTTGGACAAATTACAATTAGAATAATAATAATTATTGAAAATGTTATTGCCTAGTTAGTACAACTGCGAATATCCATCCAATTTTGCACTCTCTGTATAACATTTTTCTGAAGTCAAATTAACATATCAAAGGAGCATCTTTCACGCATTGAAATTTTTCTTTACAGGTTAAACAACACCCAATGAGTGGTCTTCAGAACAGCACAGCACCAGTGAATTCACAAAACACCCCACTTTCTCAAAACGTCATGTCTCATACTCCTCAACCAGCACCACAAACTAATGCCATACAACAGGCCCCAGCGCCTCTACAACCGACTAACGTATACCAGTCGCAAACGACATTGAAGAAAAACCCACTGCTAAACAATTCTAGCAACTTGGTCGGTCCCTTGGTACAACCGAACCTGAATTTTCCCCACGCGAAACTCAACAAGGCCCACAGCTTACCCAACTCTGTCAGACCATCTCACCTCTCGCTAGCGAAAAACCCCTCGCCCAATCAGGCGCCCGTGAGTAATCCCCTGAAACAACCCGTGCCCAAACCCCCGCACCCCTTCGCTCAACACAACAAGACCAACTTCGTGTCGCACGGCAACCCTGTCCAGCCGGAATCGGCCCCATCGAACCTGACCAACGTCATGTTGAGGAGCCTGCCTTCCCCGCCGCCCTACTCGGTGGCGGTGTCGCGGCCGCCCTGGGACTCGCTCGTCGACCTCACGCCCACCCTCACCGATCTGAGGGCGGACGACCTGGACGAGCTGCTGCCCACGCTGGAGAGGGAACTGACGCAGAGCCCGCTGCCCGAACTGCCCGAGGACTTTCTCGCCGACCACTCGACGCTGATATCCAGCGCCGAGGAGTTGAGCGACAGGCGGAAGTTTCTGATCAACCCGCTCACCGGGGAGCTGGAGCCGCAGTCGAGCGGGGAGAGCGACAGCGAGGACTTGAAGGTACGGGTTGATATGTTTATAATAATAATAATACTCTTTATTTTGAGGAAATCGTACAGTACAAATGTTTAACATAGGTAAGGCTGATTTAAAGGTGGATATATGTATGGTGAAATAGCTCCCTCTTACAAAACCCTAGAAATTTTTGTAGACCTCTGGCCTACTTGATTATGTCGAATTCTATCACCGTAGTAAGGCCGCGCAAAACTAACGCTAGATGGCGCTGTTCCCGAAGTGATCTTGCTACACAATGGTTGTTTTGTTGTTTACATTTACGTATATTAATTCGTAATTTAAAAACATTGATAAAAAGTAATTGATTTAATGACAAAGACGTGAAATTTTCACTATATCTGTGAAGTATAAAAAAACTCATTCTGACATTCACAACCACAACACAAGGAATGCAGAACTACTGAGACCGCCAAAATATAAACTCACTACTTCCCAGAAAAACTCTCCCAATCTTCAACTTTACAACAAACTTCCTGATTCAATAAAAGCAATGAATTCACACCTTTTCAAAAATCGAGTAAAATCAATCCTCAAATCAAACTGCTTCTACTCTATCCAAGATTACCTGGATTGTGGAAATATGTAAGATACTCACCTTCATTGTCAATGTATTTTAATTTATTTATGTATTTTTAATTATTTATTTATTTATTTTCTATATATATATTTTTTGTTTATTTGTGTTAGTGATCAGTTAATGGGTATGTTCATATAATATTTTATAGTCATTATTATTTTTCCTGTAATTTGCTCTTTTCACTTCTTGTTTTGCTGTTTTTTATATTTTATATTTTGTTTGTATCCATAGAGTAGGTACCTACTTAAACTAAAGTCGATGTTATTGATATTTGTAAAATGACCTGCCATACATGTATACAGAGTGGGCCATTGAAAACGAAACAGCGGCTCTGTAGGTCGGCAAAACCAGATTATGAAAAAAATCTGAAACATGTCAACTACATTTTCGAGGGGGACATCGTTCTAAAATGTTCTCAGCCCTGCGGCGTTGCCGCTTCTAACGAAAAGAAGCAACAACTTTGTTATTTCAAATGGAACACCTTGCATTCAGAAGTCTGAATCTTGAACCACCCTGTATTTGTTTCAAATAAATGTCAGTAGATAGTAAATCAAAAGTTGAGATAGGGACATGAAAGCCGTTTTGACCAATAATTGATAGTTTCGACACAAAAAAATCCTAAAGTTGAAGAATCTCGATTTTTTAACACCCTATATCCCTGAAATCATTCCAGCTAGACCCGAAGTGTGATGCATTGATAAAATCAGCTCTTCGGGGAGAATCTAAAAATGCAATGAAATACAAGGTGTTCCATTTGAAATAACAAAGTTGTTGCTTCTTTTCGTTAGAAGCGGCAACGCCGCGGGGCTGAAAATATTTTAGAACGATGTCCCCCTCGAAAATGTAGTTGACGCGTGTTTTTTTTTTTTCATATTCCGGTTTTGCCGACCTACAGAGCCGCTGTTTCGTTTTCAATGGCCCACTCTGTATAACATCACACGGGGCGGTGGAGTTCTTTCATTTTCCATTGTCACTCGAAATTAGGGCTTCTCATCTTTATCATTAATTGCAGTTGTAACAAGTCCAAAATCACTTTATGATCACGTGTCAATCTTGGCTGTAGTTATATAGAGCGTAAAATACTTTGCTAGATAAAAGTTCAATGAATTTTCATGTATTTTGTTGTTTTCTTTCTTTTTCTTAGACTTTTGTTATTTCCTAGTTAAGGCTGAGTGGAAGAAAGCCCCTGTCTCATCCTTTAGGGATCAGAGGAAAGCTAACTCTGCCCTTTGGTAGAAATGTATACATTTTTGTCACTATTTTGTATATTTATTATTGTTTCAATCTATAAAAGCGTTTATTATTATTATTATTCTTGATTTCATTCATTAATCCGTGTTCGGCGTTTAGTTTTTGTTGATTTATAAATAAATCGCGGTGTATATCCATCGTTAATCAGTCTGGCGCATTTTAACATTTCTATTTTTGAAGGACGTGTTCACCGGTCTGCCATCGCCGGCCACCCTGTCGGACGACGACACGTGTTCGACGACGCGGCCCGACACGACGACCGACCAGAGCGACAGCGAGACGCGGTCGAGCGATCCCGGCAAGCCGCCGCGGTCGAAGACGTCGCGCAGCCGGGAGCGCGGCCGAGACTCGCCGGCGCTCAAGCCCGAGAAGATCAAGCTCAGGCTGAAGCTGGAGAAGTCGGAGCCGGTGAATCCGGCGTACAAGGTGGGTGTCTTGTTGGAGATGTATTTTTCTCTCGGAGCATTGGTATACTGTCGGCATTTTCGTGGAATGCTTCCAGGTGTTTTACAGGGCATTAGAGTCACATAAATTTGTATATTGATAATCATAATAATATTTATTTGTAATTCATTGCTACAATTACTAAATTGCTACCTAATTCTTACAAAATATATTCATCGAATGTATATTATATTTTAAAACTAATAATTATTCATTATAACAGTATGAGAGGGTTGATATAAATCATTATTATAGTTTCTATAATGGAATTGCATGAACAGACAAACATTATTCATACTGGTATGAGACTGTTCATGAAGCCTTTCTAAAACTAATTATTATTATTATTTCATTGAATGTAACTTTTAGAATAATTCCAAAAAATATATTGATTGATCAATAAAAAATAGAGAAACAAAAAGAGAAACAAATAAATGAACCACTCAAATTCAATTTCTTTTTTGAAGAACAGAACATATTTTTGTACTTTTATTTTGAATTCTGTGATATTCCTAGAATTTTTTGTTTTGTGGTAGTTCATTGAATTCTACTTCATGAGTAAATCTCTTGGTCAAGTACAGAGTTTGCAGAATCAAGATGGATTAAGTTATTGTCTTGTATTATTATTGTGAATTTCTGAATTTCTAGTGGATATAAAATTAGATTTCATCATTTTATCGATAATAAGATAGGGTAATTTGAAAGTGTCCATTGTAGACCGGAAGAAAGTGACAGATATTCAGACATGATTTCACCCAGTATGACTTTTGAGGGGTATTATTATGTGTATATTTTGACGTTAATAAATGATATATGAAAGAATCCTGCCGGGTTCTTCATGCTTTAAAGCATGTTTTCAAGGTTAGCTGTAGCTCATGGTCATGTATAGATATTGCAGATATTATTAGCCATAGTAAGCAATTTAGGAACCCTAAACAGTAGCAGTATCTTTGAATTCTCATTTCATTTTGGAACGATTTTGGTAGTACTAGTACACTGGCAGCAAAACATAACCATAACCTATGATCTTTCAATTATCTTCCCTACTCACGTTGAAATTATGGAAGGAGTGATTAATCTATTATTATCTTAGAAAACATATTAACCGATATGGATTCTGATTCATCAGAAATCTAGTTCCAGTGTTGAAGAAATGAAGCATAGCTGTGAAATATTTTATATGGAAAAGTGGGAAAAACATCTTGTAGATTAGTGACAGTTTCAGCGTCTACTGCCTCTGTGAGATCTTCTGGTTCGAATTCATATAAGACTAAAGTATTTTAAAATAATGATATATAATTTTTATGGACTCATACCTAACCATCCAAACGCTTAACCTAACATTTCATGAATACTGACACTACATCACCATTTCTGCACTAGTGGCCAAATGTAAACTTTTATCCCCTAACAGTGTTCCTTGCAATGACCCGCGAAAACGTTGCCAGTAAATTTCAGTTGAATCAGGACGATAAAATATACTGGGCAGTACTGTTCAGGAATATCGGATATGCTCTTATTCTAGCAATTGAACTAATTGAGAGTTTAAGCCATAATTAGTCTAATTCGAGATTTGTCTTGCAACTAGGGCAATAAGGTAAAAACATGTTTTATTTCTAACTGGGATATCTTCAGCTTATATCACCATAGTTAAGCTATTAATGAAGAGGGTCATAACTCCCTTGGGACATTATAGATTCTATAATTCCCTCTACCTTTCACAAGTAAAACTAAAATATAAAATGCCAAAATTTATTTGTGCATATATTCAAGAAATGAAAAATCAACGGTACTTACTATTTACCTGAGAAATCATACTCCTTCGTCTCTCGTTACATTTTTTGTGCATTGTACAACAGCACAATACGAAGGCATGCTTGAATCAATGAATAGCGCAAAAAAAACTATTCATATGCCAAAATATTGTGGTAAAACTATTTAAATCCTTTGATTCCTCTGTAAACATCGTTCCATGTCAAAGCCACGTCCAAACTGGGAGAAAACAAACTCAATCCTCACTCAATCCCATTAGTGCCATTAGCTTGTACTGATAAGAGTGATGTTTTTAAATTTCTTGGCATTCATTGTCAATATTCGATCGAAAACGATTATAATGCCTGTTGTAGATGTTCTTTTGTCAGATATTTTGCTCAATTCAGATGGAAAAAGCCGACCAGTAGTGGAAGGAGAAGCAGTTCTCCGTGCTAATCATGTGATTTTGTGTGAGGCAGACGACTTCAACAAAAGGCACAGTTTTGCACTTTGTCTACAAACTTCGGCGATGAAATCTTCCCCACATGAAGTAAAATTGAAGTTGGGGTCCAGAGGAACTTCTATAGAACAATGGATTTCTATTTGTTCCTGCAAAGCAGGACAATCTGGGTATTGTTGGGCCAGCTTTGGATCTTTTGGAAAAAAATGCATAGGCACACTCCGAAATATAATTATTGCACTGAGCAGTCCTTTTTTGATTTGCTCCTCATAATTATTTTGAATTGTTTGAACTATCTCCAATTCTTCACCCGTTCACGGTTCACTAAACTAATAAAAATGTAATAATGTAAAAAAATTAACCAAGTCAACCATCATCACTACCAACAGTGCCAACACTTTATGTCATTGACAAGTTTGACAACTACAGCTACAGCAAGCTGTATGCAATGTAGTCTATGCACTTTATCCATAGACAGCAGTTTGTTTTCCTCCAGTTTGAAGTTTGTATTATGTAACCTAGATGTCGCCCACTTCGTGCATCTCGCGAATAGAAAATAGAAACGGACAGAAGTTCAGCTGTGTCCGAACTCTTATCTATTGGTATTGGTATTGGTAGGTTGGATGGTGACAGATGCGCTGCGACCTAATGGGGAAGACCACAGAGGGAAGAAATCCGTGCAAACCTCTTTCAATCGACGAATCATGATTTACATTTTATGTACAATCAATATTATGAGTTGAAGTTGGAGGGAATCGAATCTATATCGTTTTGAAATCAGCATATTTCATTCGATATTTCAAACAGCCAAATATGATGGTGGAGTCGTGACGTATTAGTCCCGAACTGTAGCTATCTCTCTCTGATACCTCGTCATTCTGCAGTGTTGCAGTGTAATTGGTCAGTTCAAGGACAATAGGCGTGTTGGGACTAAGACGACGCACCAGTCACACCAATGAATTGATGAAATTTCAAATGGCGCAGGAATTGTGTGTTTTGAAATGGACATATACTAATTTATTTTTTTCATCGTCTTAGCATGAATGAAAAAATTCAAAATTAATTCTCTGGTAGTTTTTCAGTATAGAGTTCACGATAATGTCGTTTTAAAAAATCAGTGGTCTTCCCCATTAGATCAATTCCTGCTATATCAAGGATTTCCTGTTCATAGCAGCCCCTCGAGATTCAATTCCTTCAGGAATTTGAGGATTTTGAGGGGGTCTAGCTGTGGTATTTCTTCCACAGTCAGCTGGTGTGTTCCCAGTATGTTCAATCTTTTGTGATGTACAGCGTCACACTCCATCAGTATGTGAAAGGGTGTTTCTGGTTCTTCCTCACAGAATCTACAGGTGCCGTCCTCCTGTAAGCCTAGCTTCCTTAGGTGTTCTTTGAGTCTGCAATGCCCCGTTAGAAATCCCGTTATTGCTTTGAGACTTCCTTTGCTGAGGTTTGTCAGTGTCTTAGATCTTTCTCGGTTGAAATTTCCAAGGAGATCTTGAGCCTGCCGTAGTCCTGGAAGTCTTCTCCATTGTCTGGCTCTCCAGGCTCCTTCCGCCTTCTCAAGTTCTCCTTCGAAATAGGAATTTCCAAGGCCACAGAATGGCTCTGGTCCGATCAGTGGCGTTGAAGCCCCTTGTCCTGCCAGAGCGTCTGCTTGTTCATTCCCCTCCACTCCGATGTGCCCTGGCACCCAGAGGAGGGTAACTTTATTGTTGCTGCCTAGCTCATTCTTATCTAACTTGAACCATCGAGTCACTGTAATGCCAACTATATGAATGATACTGTATATCCGAATCTACTGCTTTTCAAAAAAAAATCCCAAAAATATGGCTAACAACGTCTCTTATCCCATCGAAGGTGGACGTCAGCTTCGTGAACCAGCAGCCGAAAAAAGCGTCCGCCTCCCTGATGGCGGGCGGCGAGGAGTTGCGCGTACCCCCGCTGCACATATCGCTGCGCGGCCGCAACTCCGTCGTCATCAAGAACAAGACGAAGGTGAACGCGGACGGTACGCCGGTGAAGACGAAGGCGCGTAAAAACGCCGATCACGCGAAGGCGAAACGGACGGACGGCGCAGGCGCAGGATCGGCGGTCGGCGAGGAGGTGGGCGGCGGCGCAGTGGCGTCGGCGGCGTCGGAGGGTTCTTCGGGGTCGGTGGGGGTGGAGGGAAAGGTGTGGATGGCGGGGATGGAGCAGAAGAAGTTCAAGAAGCTGAAGGCCGTGCACGAGCATAAGGTGGGTGTTGTTATTTCTGTTTTAGAGGTACATTGACACAGGGTTGGCATGAATTAATTCATATGAATATCATATGATAGCTAACAAAAACAAACATAAAACATTGAAAAACGATGATTTTCAAATGACTTTGATGATTAATAATGGCATAATTGAGACTGTAAAAACCTATAAGTACTTGGGCAAATGATAGATGAATTGAATATGAATGCAGACTGTGATTATATAAAGGAAAAAAATCCAATTTTTGTAGAGGCTCAATGGTAAAGTTTCATTTTTTTCCAAGTTGACTATTTACAAATCAATAATAGCACCTCACTTCGATTATTGTGGAACCCTATTATTTTTTCTTAATAATGACCAGTTGAATGTAATTCAAAAAACACAAAATCGTGCCATGAGAGCTCTACTCATGTGTAACAAACGTACTCCAATAAAAAATATGTTAGATACATTATCATTAATGTCTGTGACACAAAGAATTCATTACAATATGTTGGTCTTTGTGTTCAAGATGCAAAACAGTATGTTACCAAGCTACCTCAGTGACGGATTAAGTTATATAGAAAATGTACACACTCATGAGACTAGAACTCTAACTGCAAATGATTTTTATATTCAAATGGATAACATGCACTGTGACACAGTATTTAATAAGGGTTTAATACTCTTCAATATGTTACCCCCTGAGACAAAAAACTTCACGACTTTGAACCTTTTCCAAAAAAAAAAATTCAGAGAGAGACTATGTATTCAAACAGTTTTAGTAGTATGAAATTATATTTTATGAAAGTAGCTTTTGATATGTTGTACCTATTATAGTACCTGATTTTGTCTTTTGAAGGACTTTTGTTATTTGTGATACTTGTGTTGTTTTTTGCTTATTCTGTATTTTTCTGTAAAGAGCACTTGTATGCTAATAAAGTGTTATATATGATTTTTGGATGTATGATAAATTGATATTCATTTTACAGGACGTGCAAAGATATTCTGAATTGAGAAAACCTAATCATGAATCTTCGATTGAGGTTTATAAAAATATCAAGTTTCCATCGTTCAAGTTTGAACCCCTTGATTGGTTGAAAGTATTGATAAGGAATATCTTCAGATCTATTTATGAACACGAAAAAAATTGATATATGTATATAAAGAAATACATTGAGAATTTGCATTCTCCATGTGATGAAAATATTAATTCTTTCTCGGCGTTTACACCTTGGTAGAACTTTCAACTCAAACCATGTTTATAATGATCCTTTCATTCATAAATAATGATTGACGACATAATTCGATCGAAAAATTTACTGGAATGTTCAATTTTTGGACATAAATAATAGTACCATCTGAAAACGGACCCTCTTATGACGTAGAAACCTCATCTCGCCATAGTTAAAAGAAAATACCAAACACCGGACGGAGACTGAGGCAACTGATATATTAATTCTTTCAACTGTGATCTCGCGCTAATTCACTCTGCCAGAAATCATGTATCATTCATCTCTGTCTGGAATAGTCCTGTTTCAGTATTAGGGTTGTGACGTCACATCATCGCCTCGTTTTCAGAGGTCCGAAAAATCGGGGATTTCAATAATTTTTTATAAAACGTAGGGAACTCACAGCGATAAACGGTTTGCGGTGGTGAGCTAGTTTGGGTGAGTTCTATCGAATTATGGAATACATTTTTTTGTGATATAAGCCCATTCTATTCTATTCCAATGAGACAGAACTAAAATAAAATTCCGAATTTCATATAAAACACCTACAATAGGATTCAGCTTTATCCTTGGAATTGCAGGACGTCGTCGCCACTCTCGCCCAAGAAAACGACCCGAAACCCAAGTTCGCCATCCACAACCACTACAAAGACAAGCAGAAGGAGCGCAGAGGCAGCGACTCGGACCTGGTGCGCAACAACAAGAAATACCTGGAGAGCAACGGCGCCGCGGGCGGCGAGGAGAAGCGCCGCCGGTCGAGCCAGTCGGAACAGCAGCCGGACGACGGGCAAAAGGTCTTGGGCAGCACCAACGTGGGCACGATCACGAATTTGCCGCAGAAGCCGCGGAAGGACAAGACGAAGGCGAAGGAGGCGTTCAAGGTGACGAAGATGTTCAGCAAGAGTTTCGGGGACAAGGTGAGCTCTCATTTCAAATTTATAGCGTTTTCCAGTTGCCGATATACAGAGAGCGCACTAGCTCAGAGCGTGTACAAGTGACACGTTCGGATCTTCCAAATAGTGCGGTTCCAGCACAGAGCAGTGGAATAGAAATCGAGAGTTGATGCGACCTTCTTGCCATCAGAAATGTCAGACGAATTGTTTTGTCAATCAAAAAATTGAATTATTGAAAGTACATTTTTGGTTTCTTTGGTCGACATAAAATGGATTCTTCATCTAGACTCTTAAGAGTCACTGCATGGTATTAGTTAGGTAGTAGTTCGGACACTGAAATGACAAATGCTTTAGATTTATTAAGTTTCAAACCTTGCATTGTGAGAAGAGCACCAGCCGTTTCGCGCTTTTTCATTACAAATTATTTGAATTTGACAATACTTTTTATGAACGCCAGAATTGAAATATAAAATTTCATCAGCTAGTGAGAAAGAAGTATAAATGAAAATGTCCTGCTGTGTTCGTTGTTGGAAGTCTGAAGGTAATATGGATTTTATTTATTCAATTTTTCAAAGGGAATATCAACCATTTTCTTATGAAAGAAATGTATAAGAAACGGCCTGGATGGGAAATTAATTGGAAGACTAGCAAAATTTGCGAGACCTTCATAGATATCCAAATTTCAAACATTTTCCCACTGGAATACTTGAGGTTATGTGTATCACACCGTTGCACAGGCATGGTTCTGATAACTCGAATTTTGAGCGAGCATTCAGCAAGTTTGAAAGCCAGTGGAAATCATTTCTCCACAAAAGTTCACTCAGTGCCGAAAAGAATCGAGCTAGTACGACAAGTGGAAAACGCTATTAGATCTGACTTGATTCTTGTTCGACAATGGGACTCATAATGAATTATTAGCATTCAATTACTTCAATTGGTTTACTGTTTTCAGTTCAAGTATTTATATTGTGGAAACACAATTTCATACGTGAAGTGATTCATCTCCTTCACACATAGGTCACTAACCTATGTGAAGGAGATACAATATGGAATATTGTTCTAAAAAAAAAATTATCTATCCGTCATTCGGTTGCCCCCTTACGTGCAACCCTCGGAAGTCTTCGAGAGTCTTGTGCGAGCAAGGAATGACGGAGGCCTTACTTTTTTACGTGTGATCCCAAACACTTTCTTGGGCCATCAGAAACATTTCTGCAGTCGATGGGAATCGAACCCACGACCGGCAAGCGAATGCGGATTAGAATATTGACACTCTGTCCGCACGGCTACAGGCTGATTCACGGTAAAAGGCACAAGACGTTTCTGGAGAACCTAACTTGGGATTAATCTGAAAAAATTTGGTGCCTTGGATAATTAGTTGTGCTCTATCGACCTAAAATGTTCTCAGCGCTGCGACGTTGCCGCATATAATGGAAAGTAGCAACAACTTTGATTTTTTTAATGGGACACCCTGTATATTATTCCATTTTCAGATTCTCCCTGAAGAGCTGATTTCATTGACGTATAACACTTGGGGTCTAGCAGTGACAATTACAGAGATATAGGGTGTGAAAAATCGAGATTCTTCAACTTTGAGATTTTTTTGTGTCCAAACAATTCATAATTGGTCAAAAAGGCTTCCATGTTCCTATCTCAACTTTTTATTTACTATCAATTGATATTTATTTGAAATAGGTACAGGGTGGTTCAGAATTGAGATTTTCAACCACCCTGTATATATTTCAATTGAATATCAATTGTTAGTACATGAAAAGTTGAGATAGGGACATGAAAACCGATTTGACTAATTATGAATAGTTTCGACACATGAAATTCTTGAAGTTGAACAGTCTCGATTTTTCACACCATATATCTTTGCTATCATTCCCGCTAGACCCAATGTGTAATAGATCAATGAAATCACCTCTTTAGGAAGAGTTTGAAAATGGAATAATATATAGGGTGTACCATTAAAAAAATCGAAGATGTTGCTAATTTTCAATATAAGCGGCAACGTCGCAATGTTGAGAATATTTCAGGTCGATAGAACACAACTAATCATCCAAGAAACCAAATTTTCAGTATAATTCTATTTTGCTTTCTCCAGAAACGTTTAATGTGCTATCCACCGTGAATCAGCACATACATGTAATTGATATTCGATGACAAAAAGTAGATTTCACTTGATTCAATAAATGAATAAATGAATAATTAAACTAATAATTGATGAAAATCTGTATATTTTTTACTTGATTTAATAAATAAAAGAATAAATATGCCAAAAGCAGCGCTTAGCGTAAAATGGTCAATTTTGTTGCTAATGGAAGAGTGAATTAGTTGCAGGGCAAGCCCGTCACGCTGCCGACGGCGGGCGAGATGAACATGGAGGCGAAGTTCAAGCAAGGGCTGCTGGAGGGCACGGGGGAGAAGGGGGTGCCTCGGCCGCCCCATCGGACCGAGGTGGTCAACCACGTCACTGCTGATTCCAATATCGCGCAGGAAACGGAAAAGGTGAGGGTGGTGGTTCGTTGTTGGAGTGCGGTCAGTAGGGTACAGGCATACTGTTTATCGTTGTAGCGGAGGGAGACAAAAAACCGTGAGCTTAAATTTAATATTTTTCCCGTGTATAAACCATAGATCTAATTTAGATCTGTGACAGAAGAAAGGAGGAATCAATATTGAGAAGATATTTACATTATTTGGAAATCTGAAAATAATCGACGTGAAATTTTGAGTTTTTAGCAGTAGGGACATCTGCGTTGTAGGCATCTTTATCATTCTTTTGAAGTAATAAAATATCTGATGTCACTTCTGTCAGTCTAATTCTGTGATTTGATTTCAAAAAATTGCGAATTTAGTGGTTGTTCAGTAATATACCGACGGTCATCTCACGTAATGACGTATCTCAGTTTTCTTAACTTTACAGGAGTGCAATTCAAAGATTTCCAAAATCTCAATTCGCTCATATCTCAGAGGTTCGTTCATGAAAGATCATTGTTTTTTATTTATTAGCGGAAGAACTTGAACTAGTCGTTATGATATGGTAATATTTCGAAAAAACATCGCTAAAAACGGAGAAAAAAATATGTTTGTGAGATACGCCGCTAAGTGAGATCATGAAAAACACAGAAATTAATTCGACATATACCATATCTTACAATATCACTCTCAGTACCTTGAGCTATTTCAATTTCCGTGGCAAACCGGATTGAGAGATAGGTCACTGTTGAAATTTTTAACAAATAATAAAAATATATCTCACGTATTGACGTAACTCCCATAGTTAGGTCACTTCGTGAGATTGGGTAGGCCAATAATTTGAGATAGGCTGAGTCTCGGGCTGAGTATACGATATTACACGGAAACCCTTGAATATTGAGCTACACCACTTTGTGAGATCATAGAGTATAAGAATATAAGTCATTTGACGAAGTATCTCAAATTCCGATTTTTATGAGATACGTCATTACGTGAGAGGACCCACGATACGTAACCGCGAAGTTCTTGCTTGCAGTTCGTTCTCGGAGACGGTATTATTGACTCATTTTTTGGAACTATAGCACAACAAAAGTCATCAACAGTGTATATATATATGTGATATATATCCGGGAAAAAAGTACTCACTTTTTTTCCACGGGAAAAAAGTAATTTATGAAAAGTGACATTTTATAACCTGCCAACAGAGATGAAATGCCAAATGATGGAAATTGGTTATGGAAATAACAAGTCCGTGTGTTATACTTCAAAACTGTATATTCTTCTCTTCAAATCAAGACCACTCGGAAAGCACGCCGATGTAGGAATCATCATATAGAAAACGTCTCTAGGAAAACTAAGTACATAAGTATATGCTTAGTAAGCAGTCTCTCCTCATCTATACCATACACATTGCTTTCATTTATATATTTTAAATAAACAAATTTAATGTGGCCCTCGTGCGCTGCACTGTCGACATTTCTAGATATTCAACGATAATAAATTCATTGGTTTATATTTCATTTTTGTCTACGTACACAGTGGACTGTGTATATCCAACACGCCCCCTCAAAAATAAATTCATAAACAAAAAAAAAAAACAAGAATTCAACATACCTTAAATATAAGTCGTACACTATTTTTCTAAAAGTAATATAACCTTGCAACACTTTTGAGAGAGACAACGGACATGCTTTCCTCGTGTATTTCTGGGGTATAATATGGCCCAACATTTGTTGCTCAGGATTAGGGAAACCCAGTAAAACCTAATCAGACCATTTAACTTATTCACTAATAATTTCTTCAAGACCCATTCCAGTTCGGAAGTCTTGAAATTTAACTGCTGGCAATGGCTTGGTCAACAAATCAGCTATTTGTTCACCTGTCGAAAGATATTTCAATTTTATAACACCATTTTCAACTTGTTCTCTAGAAAAATGATATTTTATATCAATATGCTTAGACCGTTTGTGATTTGTTGGATTATTAGCAATACTGATACAACCATTATTATCTTCATAAATTATAATCGGTCCTGAAATATTCATATCAATACTCTTTGCTAATGATTTTAGCCAAAGTGCTTCTCTGACAGCTTCAAAAAGAGCCATATATTCAGCTTCAGTGGATGAGGCTGCTACTGATGTCTGTCTTTTTGTACTCCAACATATCACACATCGCTCAAATAATTTAAATAAATAACCAGTTGTACTTCTTCTGTCATTTTCATCATCACCCCCCCAATCAGAATCAACATATCCGCTCAAAATATTTTCATAATCACCTCGAATATAGGTCAACTTCAAGTTCATTGAACCCTTGAGATATCTAAGTACCCTCTTCAGACATTGCCAAAGTTCTTTATTATTTTTGTTTAGGTACCTGCTCAAAATATTTACAGCTGTGCTAAGGTCGGGTCGAGTACACAGCATCACATACATTAAACAACCAATAAGATTTCGGCAAGGGCTATCATATTTCTCTTCGGAATTTAGTGATTTATAGTCTAATTTACTTGGGAGAGGAGTGCTGACAGATTTACAATCATACATATTGAATTTCTGTAGAATTGTTTTTATGTATGCACTCTGATCTAGAGTAATTCTATTTTCTGTTCTTTCTAATTTAATTCCTAGAAACAGTTTGATAGAATTTAAATCAACCATGCGAAATTTACTCGCTAAATAATTCTTGAAACTACACATTGTTTCATGTTCAGCAGTGGCAATGACTAGGTCATCCACATAAAGTACAACATAAATATTTTCAGATATATCACCCTTATCTAGAATATAAATACAACGGTCTACTGACGAATTTCTAAAACCTATGTCTTTCAGAGCTTTTTCAAACACTTCAAACCAACATCTTGCTGCTTGTTTCAACCCATACAAAGCTTTATGCATTTTGCAAACTTGATTTGGTTTGCTTTTAACCCCTTCAGGAACTTTCATATAAATTTCTTCTTTTGATATTCCATTCAGGAAAGCAGTTTTCACATCCATATGATGAACAAGAAGATTAAATTGATTTGAAAAAGCAATTATGAATCTGAAACTTGAAATTCTTGCAACTGGTGCAAATGTTTCATTATAATCTTTCAGGTATTCCTGACTGAAACCTCGAGCAACAAGACGAGCTTTATATTTCGATGGGTTTCCAAATTCGTCATTTTTAAGAGCAAATACCCATTTACAATCAACTATATTTGTGTTCACAGGTTTCCATACTAACGACCATGTTTTGTTGATTACAAGAGAATTAATTTCATCTTGAATAGCTTCTTCCCATTTAACTTTATCAGTTCTATTCTGAATTTCCTGAAATGAAGTGGGAATTGTACATACAATAGATTGGGCGCACAAAAGGTAATCATTGGATATATTATCGTCTTCATTATAAGAAATTGTCGTACGATTTTTGATTCTGTCACTCCGCCTGAGTTCAGAAAACGATGGTACTTCACTTCGCCCATTTTTTCCATCATCTAATTTAATACCTTCATTAGATTTTACCTCTATCCTTGTTTTTGATTTATCTGGTTTATCAATACCAGATTTTTTTACCACTGATTTTGACTGAAAGTCAGATGCATCAGTTTCATATCGCATACGTTTCTCTGATTTAGCACTATCAGATTTATTACCCACTGATTTTGACTGGAAGTCAGATGCATCAGTTTCATATCTCAATAATTTATCTGATTTATCACTATCAGATTTATAGCCCACTGATTTTGACTGTAAGTCAGATGCATCAGTTTTATCATCAATATGGGAATTTTGCGACTTCCCTTCAGGCTCAGCCATAGGCCTAGATACTAAGAAATTTGTTTCATCTACAATGACATCTCTTACGACAACAAATTTTTCAGTTTCCACATTCCACACTTTATAACCATTCGGTTCAAAACCAACCAGTATAGCTTTCCAGGATTTTTCATCAAATTTTGATTTTCTGGTTTTATTGTGGATATAAACGGTTGAACCAAAAATCTTCAAATATTTTACTTGCGGCTTTTTGCTATGCCACATTTCATATGGTGTTTTGAACTGTTTTAGAGCTTTAGTCGGTGTTATATTTATTAACAATGTTGCAGTTAAAACTGCCTCACCCCAAAAAACCTTCTCTAATTTTGCACCATGAATCATTGCACGAGCTTTCTCTGTGATTGTTCTTACCATACGCTCTGAGACACCATTTAACTGTGGGGTTCTGGGAACTGTCAAATGATAACTAATTCCTTTCGTTACACAATAGTCCTTCATTTCAGTCGATAAATATTCCCTTCCATTGTCACAATATAGATTGACAACTTTCAAATCAAAATGTGCCTCACTTTTTGGAACAAAATCACGAAAAACGGAAAATACATCTGATTTATATGTAATTAAATATGTAACACAATAGTGAGTATATTGGTCGACAAAAAGAACAAAATAATTTTTGTTATTGATTGATGAAGGCGTAATTGGACCAGCCACATCTGAATGAACAATAAATAAGGGTATTTTACGTGCGTTTTATCTTTACCCTTCTTGAATGGTAGACGTGCTTGTTTACCACTTATACACGCTTCACATAAATCATCATTAGGTGTTATCTGATCGATTTGACCCACATCTTCGATCATTTGTTTATTTTTCAACTCTAAAAATTTAGATTTTCCAATGTGGCCTAAACGTTGATGCCACAATTCATAATTATTAGTTTTTGTGCTACTATGTACTTGAACAATAGAAGTTGGTACATTTGTATTGATCAAGAGATCAATACCAATCAAATTGTGCAAAGACTTACCCATCATAATGGTCTTACCACCTTTGCTTATGGAAACACCCTCTGGAGTGAATACCACTGTCATTCCAGCCTGTTGCATTCTCCGCACGGACAGCAAATTGTACGGAACGTCTGGACAGTAGAAGACATCCTCAAGGATACCTGGAATACCCATGTTGCTGATGACATTAATCGTTCCTCTCTTTGTCGCTGTTATGTAGGTCCCATTTTTAGCTACAGAGATTCTGATTGGAGTTTGCAATTCAACCAATTTGCCAAATATATCGTCTCTGTTTACAAGATGATCGGATGCTCCAGAGTCTAGGAGGAATGTGATTTTATTCTTTTCTTTGTCGAAACATCCGAAATCTCCAGCCATAAATGCAAAACCAGATGCGTTTTCACTTGGTGCTGATCGTTGCTGAGATACCTGGATGGTTTGAATGGTTCTCTTTCTATCAGCTGGTTTGTATGTGCGTGCCTTTTTGTAATGATAACAATTCAGTTTCAAGTGACCTTTTCGACCACAATGATAGCACTTCAAATTTGAAGTTTTCTTAGTGAATTTGAACTGTCTTGGTTTATAATGTCCTGGACGATGATGTTTGAATTGTCCAGCGGTCTCAAAGTTTTGTTGTCTTGTTGAAACATCACTATTTTCAACGTGAAGTATTTTTGCGCTTGTATCGCGGCTTTCAGTGGTTAATTTGACCTCATGATCTAGCAGTCTTGTTTTCACAAATGGTAAAGTCAAATTATCCTCGGATAATGTTTCTAGTGCTGTTATAACTCCATCATAAGATGTAGGGAGAGTCAACAATAAATGAGATACCTTATCAGTCTCTTCTAATTTTGCACCTGCTGTCAATAGTTCTGTAACTATATCATCGAAGGTTCTGAAGTGTTGCATTAGAGATGTGTCACCTTGCAATTTGAGTCCCAGCAATTTCTTGCGTAAAGCCAGTTGCGTAGCTATACTCTTGCGTTCATAAATTGCATCCAAACTACACAAAACTTCCTTTGCGGTATTGTCTGTTTTTGCGAAACCAAGGAAAGAGTCAGCCAAATACTCCACAAGAACACTTTTGGCTGTGCGTTCAGCTTTATTCCACACATCAGTCATTGGATCAGGGATTTCCTCATCGATGACTTTAATAACGTCAAGTTCAGTTAACAAAGCCCGTATTCTGAATTTCCACACACCATATCTGTCCCCGTCGAATGATGTAATGTTTCTCTTCACTTTCAAATTTTCCATAGTCACTTCAGATTACACGAAGTACACAAATACACACTTATGAGCTAGCACACTGGATTAGCAATCTGGGCCCATAACCTGATGGAAATTGGTTATGGAAATAACAAGTCCGTGTGTTATACTTCAAAACTGTATATTCTTCTCTTCAAATCAAGACCACTCGGAAAGCACGCCGATGTAGGAATCATCATATAGAAAACGTCTCTAGGAAAACTAAGTACATAAGTATATGCTTAGTAAGCAGTCTCTCCTCATCTATACCATACACATTGCTTTCATTTATATATTTTAAATAAACAAATTTAATGTGGCCCTCGTGCGCTGCACTGTCGACATTTCTAGATATTCAACGATAATAAATTCATTGGTTTATATTTCATTTTTGTCTACGTACACAGTGGACTGTGTATATCCAACACCAAACTGTTTTCCCGTCACAGAAAAAACACTATTTGTTTACAATCATACATAATTCCAAAGTTACAAATAAGTTAGAAACAGATGGCTTCAACAAGTTTCAACGCTGTAAACTATACGTCAATGTTCATTGTTCACACTTCTCTTTATCAGTCGCGTAGGTTAAGCCAGGGCCAAGACAATTTTACTACAATCATAGACATAGTATGAAGAGAGGGGAGACAACATTTCATTGATAAAACACTATTTGTTCACAATCATACATACTTTCAGAGTTACAAACAAGTTAGAAAGAGATGGCTTCAGCAAATGGCAACGCTGTTAACTCTGCGTCAATGTTCATTGTTCACACTTTTCTTTATCAGTCGCGTAGGTCAAGCTAGGGCCAAGACAATTTTACTACAATCATAGACAGAGTATGAGAAGAGGCGATACATTAGATTTCATTCATGAAACACTATTTGTTTACAATCATACATACTTCCAAAGTTACAAATAAGTTAGAAAGAGATGGCTTCAACAAATGGCAACGCTGTTAACTCTGCGTCAATGTTCATTGTTCACACTTTTCTTTACCTGTCGCGTAGGTCTAACTTTTCTTTTCCAAAGGTTGTATTTTCGAAATCATTCATTTCGAAGAGCCCTTTTCTTGGAAACTTTTATTTCGTTATTTCAAAAAGAAAAACTTTATACTTATGAAAGAGCATTAAAGAGCTGAAAGCGTTAGCTTTCATACCAGTTGCTTTAATCTTCAGAGGCTTCGACTTGATATAGTGAGAGAAAATGAGTTCCAAGTAAATGAAGAAATTTTTGATTATTTGGAAAGATAAATAGAAGAACTATAGCTGAACCCATGTTTGATTATTCTCTTTGAGGTAGCTTTGAAAGTGTTCTTCAGCAATCACAATTGATCAACAACGCCGCTGAATCATGGCATAGGGGATTTTTATCCCTTATTGAAGCACAAAAATCATCTCTGGAATTTTCTAGACAAAATTATGAAGGAACAATGCTTGACGAAACTTAAAACTGCATGTTTGATTATTCTCTTTGAGGTAGCTTTGAAAGTGTTCTTCAGCAATCACAATTGACCAACAACGCCGCTGAATAATGGCATAGGGTATTTTTATCCCTTATTGAAGCACAAAAATCATCTCTCTGGAATTTTCTAGACAAAATCATGAAGGAACAATGCTTGACGAAACTTAAAACTGCGAAAGCCATTCCTGGAGAGGAGCCCCCAAGAAAAAAGTATAACAATTTGGACCAGAGACTATACAATATATGTTCATCATGTGATGATGATGAATTAATTAGTTATTTCCAGAATATTGCACATGTTTTGTAATGTTCCCTATTATGTTGATGTAGGTAGAGTTCCTAAATGTACTTGACACTGCTGATTTTGACCTTTTTTGTATATAGTACGGACACTATGACAAGCACTGACAATCAGACATAACCACAAATAAATTGAGGGAAAAAGCGGGAACTGACACTACACGGACGTACATGACATAAATTTCAAAGGTTTGACAAATTGAGAGAATTAGAAGAAAGATGCAAGTTTGTGCAGTTTCCAACTGTGAGAACACGGGAAATCAATTCACTCTATTCGAATTTCCATCGGATAACGTAATTCTACAAAAATGGAAACAGAATATGATGCAGCCGGCATGGAATATAGGTTCAGGCCACAAAATTTGTGAGGTATTTAAATTTATTGGTAGGAAGTTGAAGAATAGGATCTTATTGAGAGAAAGAGCCGAACCCACAATTTATAAACTGAGCGAGTATCGAAAAGAGCCTTATTCCAATTTAGACTCCGATTATTGCTTGTGATGGAATGATGGAGCAGAGATCACAATAGCCATGGAGATAATCTGATGATGAAATAGCAGAAACTTTGTGAATTGACTGACTCAAACTGATTTCACATCCCTGTTCAACCAAGAATTCTTTAGATCATCTTCGTATACGAATTCTTATAATAATTTTGTGAAAATATATAGTCACTTTGTGGAACTCTGATGTACCAGATATTGATGTATCTATATCAAATAGTTGAATATATTGTTCGTGTATCACTTCTTCAAAGTTGAAATCCCAAGTCTGAATGTGCAGGTTCATGCGTAGTTGAGAAGTGCTAGACGACTACATAGCTCCTAGTGTATTTGGAACCACTTCTTGGGTACCAAGATACAAGCAAGATATTATCAGAGCACAGAACAAGAACGCTTAAGTGCACCATTTATGTTAGGTATTGAAAATGATCTTCCGATGGCCGGGTTCAACCCAATGTGAACGGTCAAAATATAAGGAGACCCTGCATAAATTATTATTTTGATTCAATTCAACACCAACCGTTGCCCGTTCCAGATCACAAAAACGACCTCGACCGACGCCTCCCCCGACCCCGATCCGGACAAGTGCCACACGCCGCACCGCGACCAACCCTCCGACCCGCCTCCGGACAAGCCCGTCCCCGCCCCCGCTTCGGTGGCCGCCCGTTCGCCCGCCTCCTCGGCCGCCAATCAGCAGGGCGAGGACAGCGGCATCGAGAGCATGGACGCGCTGAGCGAGAAGTCGCCGAACCAGGCCAGCCAGAGCCCGCACGCCGTCGATATGACGGGGGCGGGGCTGGTGGGGCAGAAGAGGCGGGGCGGCGGCAGCGGGGCGGATCTGTTGGATATCGAGGCGCAGCTGGCGAAGATGGAGGGGTTGAACGGGGACTCTGACGACAGACAGGTGGGTGGAAGGTTTTTTTTGTTCTTTTTTCATTCTTTGATAAAAACATTACATTGCATCTCATATAAGTATAATAGTATAATATTCAACAAGCATTTAATGAGGGCTATTTACTCAGGTTAATTATGCCACTCGCTACGCTCGTGACATAAACTTAACCTTTGTGAATAATACGACCAATATTGAATATTGAAAGAAGGTAGGGAGTTTATATCTAAATCAATATTTTGTTTGCTTGTAGAACAAATATGATTGAGATCATCAGTTGAGTAGTTACATATTTTAGTCTCTTGATATTTGTTTAGCTGTATCCATTTTATTTTCAATTGACTCGTCAATGTAGAGTTCCGCGACCGATGTGGATTTCCAACCCCCGTGTCTCTTCAGTGTTCTCCACCTGCATCGACGAGTAAGGTTGCAGACGATCTTCGGAAACTGGCCAGAATATTTCTCAGGATTTGGCAGTTTCAAAAACTCAGCTATTTGTCTTCCCATTTCTGTGAATTTGTTAATACCGATCCATTGTGAGGTGCACTTGCCATTTTGGTAAAGAAAAAAATACATGAGAAGTTACATATGCAAGACGGAGATTGATGTATTTTTTACAAATCATGTAAAAATTATCAGTAATGGTGAATTTTCTGCTGATTCTTGTTTTGGTAAATGGCACATTTACTAAATAGGCTGATCCAAGGTCTTTTATGACCTCTATTTTCATGTTATTCATTTCATTTGCGCGGCATGCACCCATTATTCCCATTATCATTGTGACCTGATAACAAGCAAGTTTTTTTCATGTAGCTGATTTCTTACCTTCATTGCAAGATATTTTTCATCACATGCCTGAATCAAAAATCTGTTGATTTCTTCGGATGAAAATGTATTTGCTGTTTTCGGATGAAAGCCTTCAGACCTCCGTTTTAGAAGTGAATGCAGTTTTACATAGTTTTCTATATTGATTTCCTCGATTTATATTAAGCGTACTCCTAAGCATCATAGATAGCAAAACTAAAAAGAAGTAGAAAATAAATAGTAGTTTAGAAAACTAAACAGATAGATTACCGAACTGAAAAGAATTAGAAAATAAATAGTAGTTTGATATTCAACTGAAAAAATATTTTCCAGAAATAATGTACATAGCAAAACAACGTCTGCCGGGCAGCTATGATAAATAAAATGACTAGAATTTAATTCAATACTGTACTGTCTTTCCTTCAAATTAATTTCACTAAGTAGCATAGCAACGCACGCAGGGTACAGCTAGTATACAATACAACCAACTGACCATCATTCTGAAAATTGGGGCTCTCTAAGTCTCCATCCTTACTGAATTTTGGCACCATGAATCTTTATACAGGGGGGTTATAAATGGAAACAATTAATACTTCCAACTTCAACATCCTGTATCTCAAAAACGTAGGAAGTTAGGACACATGTTTATATGAACTTTATTTGCTAGAATGAGCAAGAAGTTTTGATATTGTGAAGTCACACCCATTGAGCATATAGAAACTTCGAACGCAAATATCTTTGTAATCATTTGAAATAACCCTATCGAACCAGCTATAGTTGAATTCGTTATGATAATTCCTAACCGATTATGGAATACAATACCCTGTATTGCCCCATTCAAAAAATCAAAAGTTGGGGTCGTTTCCGGTAAAACTGGAAGTGATAGAAGAAAAATTGTTTCATCAATTAATGAGCAATTTGGTATACTTGCTACCCACCAATTCTCAAAACCCTATCTAGAATAATTCAAAAGTTACAATCCTGGCCGTTTTTTGTGCACTTCTCTTTATATTATTTGTGTAGATGAAGTGTATTGAAATTTGAATAAAATCTTTACAACCTTATTGATTGATTGATTGATTGTCTTTATTACCCCAAGAAACATAGTTGTTTATAATAGGGATACATAAACAATATGCATAGTGTTATACATACAATTATGAAATTATAATAAGATATAACAAGTAAAAAAAAAAAATGCAAATAATCATGCAATATCAACCTAGTCTTTTATAAGTAGGTATTCAAATTGGAAATGGAATTATCAAAGTCTCTGAAGCAGATATTTTGTGGTGTTACAATTTTTTGAACATTGTTTCTCCGCATATTCCCCATAGCGCATTATAGATTAGATGCAAACAGAAATCCTAGACATTCTTCCTGATTTTTGACAGGACATGACCGGAAACGGCAACAGGCTGGAGGACGTGAACGAGAACAAGTGCGATCAGGAGCAGACGGCGAAGAAGTGCTGCGAGCTGACTTGCGTGCTGCAGGATAGCATGAAGCAGGCGGCGGTCACGTTGGCGAGCGTGCTGGAATCGCCGACGTTGCCAGACGTGCAGAAATCGGAGATCAGTCTTGTGCCTCTCAAGGTCAGTAGCTGAGATAATAATGAGAGAGAGAGAGAGAGAGAGAGACATCTTTATTGAACCAATGTAAAAAGAGAACAATTTGCAAAATTACGAGATACTTTCAGCCAAAAAGCACATCTTATTTGTGGTGTTCCTTAAGGAACTGTTCTAGGTCCAATTCATTTCCTCATTCCTGTGGTACTGAGGCAGAACCCGATATGTCATAAAATATCGAATTTTAGTTTTTAATGCCAAAATATGCAGTTTGGAGCAAAGGATATGATGGCTAAACACGATATTTATCTGAAGCTCTAACAGCTTGTAGGTAAATTTGATTAAATTCCGATATGTTCCTTATACAAAAAATGGTCGAAGGCAAAACCCAATAGATCAGGCATAACGGGTTCTGGCTGCGCCGGGTTATAGCATAAAAATTCCCAGTATGTCTGGCTTATCGGACCATGAAAGATCAAAGAAGACTGCTGAAATTCCCATCATGGTGCCCCAAGACTGCTTTCGGAGGGTTGTACAGTGAGCTGGCTCGTAATGAAATAGAATAGTTATGAGAAACTCTCTGAAGTGATCCAATTCAAAACTCCACTCATTCGTGATATTCTTTCAATCTGAATTAACTGAAATATTTCACTTGAACTGAACTGAATCAGTTGATTTGCTACCAAATCTGAGCGATGTTGAAAAATATATTTCTTCTAAGAAGAAGGTTCATTTAAGCCGAGTTAGGTTAGATTGTTTAGAAAAAGTAGTGTCCTTCTTTATGCAGAAGAGATATTTGCCTTCCTGAAAAAAAACATACTGTCTTCTTAGGAAGAAGGTTCATTTAGGTCGAGTAAGGTTAGATGGTTCAAAAAAAGTAGTGTTTATCTAGGAGGGATATTTTCCTTCCTTTCTGGAAAAAGTTCCTACTGTCTTCTTAGAAAGAAGGTTCATTTAGGTCGAGTAAGGTTAGAATGTTTATGCAGGAGGGATATTATTTTCGTTCCTTTCTGGAAAAAGTTCCTACTGTCTTCTTAGGAAGAAGGTTCATTTAGGTCGAGTAAGGTTAGATGGTTCAAAAAAAGTAATGTTCATGCAGGAGGGATATTTTCCTATATTTTCGTTCCTTTCTGGAAAAAGTTCCTACTGTCTTCTTAGGAAGAAGGTTCATTTAGGTCGAGTAAGGTTAGATGGTTATGCAGGAGGGATATTTTTCTTCCTTTCTGAAAAGAGGACTGTGCAGACATTTGCTGTTGAGAAAAGTTTTGACAAAATTATTTTCGATTTAGATGGTGTTGTTTTAGAGGATGGTGATTTTAGGTCAGATTAGGTCTAGTTAGCAGAATCAAATAACCCATGAATATCAACTGCTTAATAAGAAATATGGTATTGGGACACAAAATACTTACTTGGATTCTTTCTGAGGAAACAAGTTGCTATTTTCAATCCATGTACTTTTCACCACTGGAATATCTTTTCTACATTTTCAAGATTTAGGACAATGGTATATCTCCAAATCTGTTTCTCCAAAATAATAATGGGAAAATTGCTCAACCGGATTCTTGTGTTCCTTGGATTTGGACTTGCAATGAGGTCTTGCTGGCACCAAACCTTGGCTCAAGAAGAAAATTCACAACTGTCTTTCTGATTACTCAAATATTGCAAATTTTTTAAATGAAATAAAAAATAGAAAACTTGGCAACCGCGCATTTAGTCACCACAGGAATTTGGTTTTTGTTTACTCGTTACCATGACGATCATTTCCATAGCAACAGTTTTTCCATAGCTGATTCCAGCTGATGTAAACAAGATATATCTTGGCAACCACGCATTTCCTCACCATAGGATTTGGATTCTTGTTTACCTGTTACCATGACAACGGTTGCCATGGCATTATTTTTTCCACAACTGATTTCAGCTATACTAAACCCGATACAACTTGGCAACCACGCATTTCCACTCCACTGGAATATGTTTTTTGTTTACTCGACAACGGTCACCATAGCAACAAATTTTCCATAACTGATTTCAGCTAATCGAAACTTGAACCCACGAGACAATTAAATTTATTCAACTTACTACGATGATACACACTAGCAACATAATTTGTTTCACGATCATCCAATCGCCCGTTCCAGGTGAAAAAGGAGGCGGACCTGGAGCTGGACCCGCTACCTGTTCGCGTCACGCCCGCCCTCTACACCTACTCCAATCCGGAGAAGGGAGTGCGCGGCGGCTCCGAGAGCCCCGCCCCCTTATCCGATGACGACGACAGCGATTCGTGCTCGACGACGACGAGTCTGGCCGCGGTGGGAGGCGGCAAGCAGAGCAAGAGCCTGCTCGAGCAGCTGCTCATCGAGATACCGGGAGAGCACCAGAACGCGGTGCCGAGTTCGCATAGCCCAGCTACCAGGTGAATAATAAGTTTCGAAACGGCATATTGTTAGGCATGAAATTGCGTTACTTCCCCATGATTCAACCGACCCTGTATAATAATAATAATAATAACATTTATTGATCCCAAGAAACATACAATGTTTATAGAGGGAAACAAATAAAATCAAATATGCAATACAATGAAAGATAAACAGTTCAATCAGAATTAATTGATACAAGGATAGAGTTAAATTGATAAAATATATTTGTTCACACTTAAATTTTGTGTCGAATCTGATAGATTTTATTATGTTGGGTAGACTATTATGAATATTTATTCCACAAAAATACAATGATTTTTTCCCGAATTGGGTTTTTATTTTGACAGTTTTCAAATGTTCACTTTGTCTGGTGTGATGCTCATGGGTATCAGAATTGATATTGAAAGTAAGATTCGAGTGCTTTTTCTTATTTTTTGTGAAATGAATGAAAATGGATACTTTCATTTTGAAGAGAGAGTCAATATCTAGTAAATCTCTTGGTTTGTATTGTCTAGATGTTGATTCCAGAAATGGTAGTTAAATACATTTTATGGCTTTATTTTGAAGAGATTTCAGAGGTTTCAAAACAGAAAGACCTCAATTTGTATAAAATACCATCAATGGGAGATATTTTTTCTGAGCAATTGAATATGCGACGACCAAGATAGAGTCTGGTCTATAGTTAAACCTAAGTTTTTTGTAGGATTCATACGAAAATTCCCGAATTTTAACGTATCTATTTGGTTATCAGGTATAACTCTTTTCCAGATGAACATAAAAGAAGATTTATCGAAATTGAGTGTCAATTTATGATCTTGTAACCATAATGTTATTGAAGCGAGATCTTGTTACATTTGGTTTTTTATTTCTTGTATATTTTTTCCGTAATAAATGAGAGTTGCATCATTTTTAATTTGAAATCCATGCTGAATCATTTCGTTCCAATTTGAAAATGTTTATTCCCATTTGGAATACGATCAGTCTCAATTTGAAGTTGAAAAGGTATAGCTGAAGGCCATAAAATATCAGCGATGAAGAAAAAATAATTTCGGTGCTAATGGATTAATATAATGTTCATTTTTCGCTTGCAGGTCATCGGTGAGAACGCGGGCGCTGTCGAAGATGAACAGCCCCGAGTTGAGTTCGCCTGTGCCGACGACGATAACCACGTCATCGGTGACGACGACGAAGGGCGGCAACCTGACCGTGGGCGCGTTGGGGTCGCGCACCGCGCCCTCGGCGGGCAAGCGGAAACGGAACGCGTCCGACAGCTCCAATCACAGCGTGGACGAGGCGAGGAAGAAGGCGCGGAAGGTGGGGGGAGAAGCGGCCGCGCATACGGACACGCACGGTAAGCGGTTGGTTTGTGAGAATGAGAGTCTAGGCCGGCAGGGATGGGGAAATAGATTGAGAGTGGGGCCGTATGAAATAACACAACACTTTGGCGGGCCGAATATAATTTTATTACAATTAACAATTCAACTATTGTTTAGAAGTAGAAGTTTGGTTCTATTTCACTAGAACTGATACGCAAAACGCATTCAAGATGATCGTCAGTCATCTCACTTCTGAGAACATTTTTACTCAGCTTCATTGTAGAAAATACCTGCTCACAAATGTATGAAGACCCAAACATGGACATGATTCTCTGAGCGTGTTTTATTAAATTTGGGAAATTAGACACATGGGAGGAAATGAACGTTTTCTCACAAGATATATATATGATTTTATCCACGAACACATATATTTGAGAGCGTCGTTCTTGAAATTGTGCTTCAAGCGGTCTTTCTCTCAATTGATTAACCTACAGACAGTATTAACCCTTTATTGCTGAATATTGTTGCGAATTCCATTGTTATGGATACATTAGAGTCACTGGATAGTATTATTTAGATACGAGTTCGGACACAGCTGAACTTCTGTCCTTTTCTATTTTCTACATTACAATGGTTTGAGTGAATAAAAGAATAAGACATATATTCTGCTCTTTGTCCTTTCAATTTCCCTAGTAGCGCCTGATTGTCAGATACGCTCTTGGAGGTTAGATTTTCTGTCAAATCAATCATTGTCGTAGATGGAAAAGAGAAATAGGGCATAAACACGAACTTCAATCTATATAGGTCGCGTGCAAGAACTGTCAGATGACCGACCCTGGAGGCAAAACATATTTGTTTACAAGTGATCGAAATAGTTTTCCACAATTATTTTGGCATATGAATCGTATTTTTCCGCTATTCATCAATTCGCTAATGCCATCACATTGTGCTGTTGTAAAATGCACAAAAACTGCAGCGGAAGATGAAGAAATCCGGATGGTACATTATGATTCAAAAGTAAGTACCTACTATAGTCACTCACATAGTTTTCATTTTTGAAATTTGGTTATTTCTCTGATTTCTCATCGGAATTCCTTCTGCAATAGGAGCTAATAGAAATATACCTGAAATTTCTAGAATAATGCAAGAAGATTGGATTCATGCAATCAATCGGTAGGACTGGTCTGACATGCTGACGATCGTGTGTGTTGTAGACATTTTCAATGTATTATTAGCAGCATTAGCTTGTATTGCAGAAGTGGCAGAAGGCAGAAGGGATTTTAATAAGGAATGACAACATTTCATAATGCTAACTATGTGAGATTACTATTTACCTGAAAAATCATATTCCCTAGTCTCTTGCTGCATTTTTTGTGCATTGTACAATAGCACAATGCGAAGGCATGCTTGAATTAATGAATAACGCAAGAAACACGATTCGTATGCCAAAATATTGTGAAAAACTATTTCAACCTTTTGATTCCTCTGTAACCAAATAAAAAAGTGGGGTTGTGTTTCAATAATTCACAGAAGAATGAGGTTGTGTTTCAATAATTTGCCTCCAGGGTCGGTCTTCGTGCACGCGACCTATACACTTTTTGCAGAACAATAATTATAAAAATTAAAAGAATTCATGTAACAAAATTTTAATATGACAAAATTGACACATGTATGGATAATAAAACATGGAGATTGTTTCGCTTTTCCACATTCTGCTGCATAATTTCCTTTTGCATTCCATCTGATGGTAATATTGGACTTTTTTTTTTCAATAGTCTGTTTTGTAAATTGTCTGTTTGAAAATGGGCTTAAAATGATGTTTCATTCCAATCTGTTGTTATAAGAAGTGAATTTTAATGTACTTGCCTCACAAATTTTGCTTATCTTCAAATTAATTCTTCCAGGCTGTCTGGAAAATTGAAGAATAGAAATCGCCATTTCTTTCAGAATTTCCTCAGTTCATTACTGAGCAGGACATTTTCATTCTTTTGATTTTCTCTCAATAGTTTATGAAATTATATTTCAATTCTGATGTTCATAAAATTCATTGTCAAATTCAAACAATTTTGAATGAAAAAGCGCGGAACGACTATGAAACTGTTGTCACAATGCAAGGTGTGCAACTTAATAAATATAAATATTCAAAAACACTAACAGCTGTCATTTCTATGTCCGAACTCTTATCTAACTAATACCATCCAGTGACTCTATAGGATGAATAACTATTGTCCGATTTCATTAACATCTGGCATATCGAAGATCTTTGAAAAAGTAATGAAAACAAGACTATCCAAGTATTTAGAACACCATAAATTTCTCTCACCTCAACAATTTGGGTTTCATCAAAATGTATCCACTCAAAATGCTATAGGTCTCTTAACATCAAAAATTTATAGTGCAATTGATGAAACTAAGCCATGTCTTGGTATATTTCTCGACCTGGCAAAGGCCTTTGATACTATAAACCACAAACGTTTACTGGACAAGTTAGAGAGGATTGGTATAAGAGGAAATGTATTGAAAATATTTAGAAACTATTTAACGAACCGAAAACAACAAGTTCTGATCAATGGTAAGAAGAGTGGTGAAAGGGTAGTTACTTGTGGCGTACCACAAGGCACAGTCCTTGGTCCCTTACTGTTCATAATATATTTGAATGACTTGTTGATGATGAAATCCGAAGGCATCATAATTTCATTCGCCGACGATACTGTTTTGGTTTATACGGGAGAAAATTGGAAGGAGGTACAGGAAACTGCCACAGAAGACTAAACTCTAAAACAAAAATCGTACCGTTCACATCATATGCGAAATACTTACCCCCATATGTAAATGTCGAGATCAACAACATTCCAATACCTTTGTCCAATTCAGCAAAATATCTTGGCATAGAAATCGATTCATTTCATCGAGACTATATATTACTCCTTAGTAGAGTCCATTATACAATATGGTATAATAGGGTGGGGAGGAATAAGGAAAACGAAATTGAAACCCTTGGAAGTTATTCAAAAACGTATCTTGAGAATCATTTTCAACAAACCACCTAAATATGCTTCCGATATATTATTCAGCGACGGTCAAATTATGGATATAAGAGAGCTGTATTGCAAAACAATCCTATGCTTTACTTATAAAAAACCCGTATCAAACCTGATCGAACATCAATACCTTACTAGAAGTAGATTAGCTGCAAATGAAATATTACCACGCGGTCAGAAATCGATAGGTCAAAGATATTTTGTATACATTGCACCAAGGCTCAAAAATCTTTTACCTAGTTCATTGAAAATGATAAACTCAAAGAACTTATTCAAGAAAAGAATGGAAGCTTGGATTTTGTCTTTGAATAGGAAAATCTTGCATAATATCATTCCGTTTGTACAATGTATAATATTATTGCTGTTATTTTAGTTTTATATATTTCTTCTTTGTATTTAGTATTTCAGTAGATATATAGGTACCAATGGATGTTTACATTTAATTCTAACTTATTGGAGAGTAGCTAAATATAGAATAATACCTACATCACGATTGTGGTATGAAATATTGTGAATAAATAGTAATAAATGCCCATAGACAAGCTCCTTGAGAGCTTTTTTGGGTGATACCCCTATTTATTCGATCCCTCTTTGGCAAATGTTCATGTTTTTGTAAATGTAATTATAAATGGGTTGAATAAATAAATTATTATTATTATATCATTATAATAAAAAGATGTGGATTGTACGGTGAACTGTAACCTTTAGGGGTGAGCCACAATAGACCCATCTGGGGTCGCAGTGGAGGGGAGGTGTTCGCCCCACTCACATGGAACCTAACCTAACCATTATAATAAACCTAAAATCTGCTCGTAGGCAACCCACCTTTGAAAACCCGCCAACACGACCACGTCAAGCCGAACAACGTCAAGAAACCACAGCCGACGACGACGCCGTCGACAACGAAGGCGCAGGACGAGAGCTCCGACAGCGACGAGCCCCTCATCGAGAAGGTGCGCAAGCCGATCGCGCCCGTGCACGCGCAGGCGCACGCGAACAACGCGCTCGCCAAGACGGCGAAGGCGAAAGGGGGCGGCACGATCGCGACGCCCGTCTCGGCCGTCAACAGCAAGGTGGCGCTGGTGGTGAACACAAGAAGGTCGGTGCGCAGCAACATGCCGGCGCAGAACACGCGCAGCAAGGGCGACAAGGTGGCGAACGCTTCGGAGTCGGAGGCTTTAAGGAGGAAAACCAGGAGTACCGGTGAGATATCTTTGTCCTTATAGAAGTAGTCCATCTCATCATCATCATCATCATCTTTATTATTCCCAAGAAACAATTGACGTATATGTTTATAACAGGGAACATTAAAAAAAAAAAACAATGTATTACATCACATTCAAAATACCGGGTGGCTACGGAAGTATTGCCTACGGAATATCTCAGTTATTGTATGAAGTAGGTTTGTGAAATTTGGAGCGTCGATATAATGACATGAGATCTAGAATTTGAGCATATTGACATGTCGAAGTTACCTTCCGGTCTGACCGGAAGTAACATCAACTTTCTTATTTTGAATGGAAACCCTATTTTTTTTCTTGTCGCTTCATTCAGCATTCAATTCCCTTTTTAATGACATATCACAAATTGGTATCTAACCAGAAACTAGATCAGAAAAAAATTATTATTGAAATTCACCGAGTAGGCCGTGGAAGCAAAATGAAAGCCAAAAATTGAAAAGTTGGCTATGGAATCCATACGTCACTTGATAACAGTTGCTACTACTGTGATATTTTATTTTCATTCGTCGGCGTTATAAAAAGCCGCCAAAAAAAATATTGGAAAAATTATGAAAAAAACAATACTCTTTAGGTCCATAACTTGAATAGGAACATACAACTTATTCTTGCCTGTACTATTCAGCATAACCATTCCTTTCTAATGATATAATGGAAAGTCATATTTGAAATGAAATACCAAAAAATCCAATTATTATTCTTCAAATAATAAAACAGATTATCACTATACGCAAAAATAAAATTAAAAATAATAGTTTCTGGTTAGATACCAACTTGTGATATGTCATTAGAGAGGAAATTGAATGCTGAATAAAGCGAAAAGAAAAAAAAAAGAGTTTCCATTCAAAATAAGAAAGTTGATGTTACTTCCGGTCAGACCGGATGTTAACTTCGACATGTCAATATGCTCAAATTCTAGCTCTTATGTCATTATATCGACGCTCCCAATTTCACAAACCTTCTTCATACAATTACTGAGATATTCCGTAGGCAATACTTCCGTAGCCACCCGGTATAGTATTTATAGGTATAATAATTATTCTAGTAATTCTCATAGTTTGAGCAGATCCTTGTTTGAGTGAATGAATGATTAAAATAATTGATATGTTATATGATCTCAATATGGATGACATGACAAAATTCAGATGAATACATATTTTTTGAGTTCTTTCTTGAATTTTTTGGTATTGATATTTTTTTAAGTCTTGTTGGCAATTCATTGTAAAGTAATAATCCATTGTAATATACAGGGTGTTTCATAATTGAATGTCAATATTCGAGGAGGCGATTCTTGGGCTCATTCTAAGAAGAAAGTTTCATATGAACGTATGACCTAAACGTCCCAACTTTGGAGATACAGGGTGGTAAAATTCTCGAAAATTAATATAGCCTACTACAATGAGAAGTTATAATTCGAAAATACCAAATACGAATACAAAGTTCATGAACTATGAATTGTATTTCTGAAATTTGATCTTAAAAATAAAAACTATTTCTCTGCATTGTGATATTATCATATTAACAATATTACTATAATCATGTAGTGAAAAGCTTTTTATTTTTAAGCGAAAACCGTGCATCAGATTGAAAAAATTGTAGTGATCAAATTTGCTTAGAAATGATCGGGAATTTCAGGAATGATTTCAATTTGGAGATTTATCAGTGGCGTACCATCAATGTCTGCCAAAATAGGTATGTGAAATTCCATACGAACGCCACTGGTGGCAACAACAAAAAATGTGGTACGCTAACTGATGCCTCTTGATACATAGTACATGTATGCCAAATTTCATCAGAATATCTGAAGTGGTATTACAGATATTAATAAAAAACTATTAATTTTTGAGAACTTCACCACCCTGTATCTCAAAAGTTAGGATGTTTAGGTCATACGTTCATATGAAACTTTCTTCTTAGAATGGGCCCAAGAATTGCGTCCCCAAATATTGACATTCAATTATGAAACACCCTGTATAGATCTCTTGCCAAATTCAGATTTGATTTTAATGAGGGAAAACATGTCTTTTGTCTAGTTGTATATGAATGTATATTAGCATTAATTTTAAAATTCGAATTGGAATGTTTATAATTGTGTTTGAATTTCTCCCACAACGTTTGACTATGAGATCATGAAAGAAGAAACATTTCTCTGGCGCTAATGTCTATTATTAACAGAATAGAGACTACTCTACAATCAACGAAATAAACAGTAGTCACTTTGGTATTTACATCGCAGATTAGAGCAGATTCCAGTCACGTGGTCACAGATAGATTGGAGCAATCGGCAATAAACGAACTAAGTGGACATTTTGTTAACAGTGTGACGGTAACCTAACCTAACCCCATTTATTTATTTCCATTTCAATTATGAGTATACCAGAAACTGTGCTAAATTTAGCTTTCGTTTCGGGACATCAAATTATTTTTGATGAGGATGATGAAGAGGAACGATGTGCTTTGAAAAAAGTTGAACATTTTGCCGAAGAAAAAGTGCCTCATTTTACTGACCTGCAATTCAAGCAACATTTTCTTCATAATTCTCATCTGACACCATAAAGGTGTGTGTTTTGTCTTGCTCAGAATCAAAAAGTTGTATTTCTTTCATTATGAAAACGTTATTTTGAAAATACGAATACGAGCACAACGACCAGTCATACATAAACATTTGAACATTAACCTCACAAATTCAGATCAATCGCTTTGCTCGGTCAAAATTCTCCGAGCATTAAGATCTTTGTCAGATCGCTCCGATTTAAATTGCCGAACGGATTGACACAGCCTAACACAGCACATTTTACCATCCTTTCAAAACAGAATTGAATAATGTCGTATTAAGATCAAGTATGAAATAAAAATTTCGTAAGATCTCTTTTAACTCCTATGAATGTGACGTGACAGCAATGTCATGTCAGGGACGCCAATACACGAAACCAAAGTCACTAGACGATTAAAGGAGAAAGGAGCTATGATCTGTCCGTACTCTGTTAGATGACAAATACGTCAGTGCATCAAGGGACCCTAGAGGTAGGTAGGGTCCCTTGATGGAAATTGACGTAAAAGTCACCTTAACAGGGTACGGACAGATCATAGCTGCATTCTTTTTTAATGATCTAGAGACCATAGTTTTGTCTACTGGCATCCCTGACATTGCTGTCACGTCATAATCATGGGCGCTACAAAAATCATTCAAACTTTTAATATTAGGTATGTACAGGGTATTTACAAGTATTTACTTGTTGAGGAAGATCAGATAGCGAACGAGTTTTGGAATTATGATCCGATTCTATTCAAAATTAGAAGGTATCTGGGGTTTTCCGGGGTTGGAGATAATGATTGTTTCGTCAAACTTGGAAAATTCAAGATGGTGAATCCAATATAGAGCAAAAGAAATTCCTAATTATGATCTGCTTCTATTTAAGATTGGTATCTGGGGGTTTTCGGGGTAGGAGATAATGATTGTTTCGTCAAAATTCGAAAATTCAAGAAGACGGATCCAATATGGCGAAATACATTAGTTTATATAATTATTACTCTACCACAAATACAAAATATGTAGGATGCAAGAGTGAAAATAACGTGTCTGTAAGTTATACTGCGTATACCTACTTCTCTGTTACTTTCATCAATAAATTATTCGAAAATGACTTTTTATTCAGGGGAGACGGAAAAATCATATATTATGTATAACATTGAGGTAAAGTATATTGTATCATTTATTTTCCTGCACATTTAACGTATTACTTTTCATCAGCCTTGAGCCTACTTTTCGTCCCAGATGAAGTTTTATACATAGTGTCATATTAGTCACTCCATAAATTCTTCTCAGAATTGTATTTCCGAAAATATATTGAGCACACATGACATGAATACAGTATTTCAGATACCCACATCGAGGTTTCCACCATTTGTCAATCATAAGGCTCAGCTCATTCAGCTCATAAATAAACTTCTGCTCGGCTTGAAGTCAGAATTCATTTAGTCAATCAGTCAGCCCTAATTTACAGTCTAGGAACAGTCTCTTTTGCTGAAATATATCAAGCTTTCAGTACAATTTATATGATTCCTACCTCGCAAAGATTATGCTGGAGTAGTAGACTCTAAAACTAGAGGATTGTTTATCTATATCTTGGTATAGTCATTGAGTATTGAATCAGGAATTCCATATGGAAATTACGTATGATACGCCAGTGACCTCAATATAACCTAAAAAACAACGAATATCAAAAATCTAGTGTTTATCCCCAGAATTGAATAAGGATGGAACTATATAACTGTTTCACAAACACTTTAGAGTGAGAGGAGACGAGGATCTGTCCGTACCCTGTTAAGATGACTTTAACGTCAATTTCCATCAAGGGACCCTAGAGGTAGGTAGGTTATCTAAAATAGAGATGATATTGTCCTGAATCGAAATACAATAAACCACTGAAAAACATGAAGTTCAAAAATACACGAATATCGAAGCTGAACGTCTGAAAACTCAAAACGAAATGAACATACACACCATTACCAAACAATGTAAACAATCCGTCTATGGCCTATAGAGTAGTACCGACATTCGCCGTTCTGGCGTTACGATCTTAATCTCAGTCGCCTATCGTTTTCAGTGTCCGATGTGGAGAGCAAACGCAAGAAAGAGGTGAAGTGACAGTATGGCAGCGGCTGCTGGGAAGGCAGCCAGCGAGCGAGCCACCTCCACCACAACCACACCACCACTAACTCCAACCCGTACCGATACCCGGCGTACCGCCCTTACTTGTGTGACCTGTCGTCGTCGGAGAGTGAAGATGACAGTTACAGGAGCGAGGACTCTGATCAGTAACCTCCCCCACTCTAACTGTACAGATTGTGATATGCTACCCACTAGATTTGGTGAGATTTGAATATCCGACTGGTTTATCGCGGAAGAGAGGGGGACATATAACGATCTCTCGCTCGGTTTTGTTCCGTTGCCGTAGCGGTATTTTTTAAATTTCCATATCAAATATACTGGGTGTCCCTAAAAGGTCTGTACAGAATCTCGGCACATACTACATAGGTCAAAATTAGCCGATTCAAAGTAACTCACCGCAGTCCGAAAATGCTCCGTTTCCGAGATGGTGAAGTGAACAATTTTATGCACTTCAGGGTTTTAAAGTATCCTTTTCAGGGAAAATCCCCTAGGGATATAAAGTACATTTCAAATTCCTAGGGATTTAAAGTACCACTTCTTTCCCCGAAATCTAGATCATCATAGTTACTGAGGTCGTTGATGTTACCATATCAATCAGCCTCTTCGATGATATTTCAGAAATACAGTACCTACCGTGTATGGTGGCATTCATTTTATTTATTTTTTGTTATTTTCAACATTTAACCTATCCTAAAGTGCATAAAATAGTATATACACCTCAGGACTAAAGTGTTTTTGAATCCCTCGACAAATTTTGGACCTCCCGTTGGTTGGGTTATAAACTTTTTGTCTCCGGATTAAAAATTCCAATTTACCCCCTAGGTGTATAATGTACTATTTTTTTGGTATATGTGGATTTTTTGAGATGTGAAAGCCGAGTTTTTACTTTTTTCGATGAGGAAATAATTTTCGGAGCAAGAAAGGTACTCCACTGAAGTAAGCCAATTTCCAGATATTTCTGTTTTTAGTGTTGGATGCCACCTGGGAATATTCAAATTAATTTGAATGTTGGCTGTTACCTTCGTGGATGTTATTTGGTCTGTGAATCAGCAGTGCAAAAATGGATTTATCAAAATACTTTCTTGAAGTGTACTTGTCGATTTTTACTTTTTATTTTTACCACCCTGTTTCTCGGAAACTTAGAAATTTTGTGCTAAGGTGAGTTGATTTATATCGGCTTATTTGGACCTCTGGAATATGTGCTATATTTTGTATAGACCTTTTCGTGGTCAAATGTTCATGACATGAAAACAAAAAATATTCCTAGTGAGACATTATTCATTGTCCACCGAAAAGAGTCACTGACACGTGAGGTCAGGGTTGGTAGAACTGATTAATATACTTCTTAGGAGATGTTCTGCAATCACATTTATTTGCTTGTTTATCTCCGGAGCCGTTTTCCAATATCATTTAGAGCAAGACATAATTTATTCGGAGCGTTCTGTAATTTGACAGCCAGGAAAGAAATAAAATCGTTCTGCTTGGATTATTGATTCAGAGGAATTAGATATATTTCAACTTTGACAGCTCTTTGTTGAATGACTGAGGACTGGTCAGTTATTGGACTTGGAGTTTGAGCACTGGTTTCTGGTTTGGTTTGAGTTTGAATTGAATTAATTTGTTCAGTACAAGTAGCAAAGTTTGTATAAGTCATAGATGAACTACTCAAATATTAAAACCAAATATGAGCGAAGCTATGGTATAGTTCAGACAGGAAAAGGCGTGCCCATAATTGAAAATGAAAACATGTTGATCCAAATCGATAAAAAATCACAATTTTTATTGGCATTGCAATAGTAGACTCCCCATTAGGAGCGCTATTTTATATATTATTGGTCTGTTGGCTCCAGAGGTCACATGACTGAAAATCTTCTCCCCCTCACTCTGCTCTCAGATGCTGTTACAGAGCATCTCTATATTTTCCTGTCATTTGGTATATTCCTATGATTTCTTCATCTCCGTCAATGTAAGAATTGGTCGTAAAATTCGACATTGAGATTAAAAAAAGTCGGCTCAAGGGGTGCGTATCGTCTCAGCCACATTTCTTCTTAGCCACATATCGTGTCAGCCACATTTCGTCTCAGCCACAGTGTCCGAATATACCCGAACGATGCGCTGTTGGCAGATACAAACCGATTTTCCCAATTTAGCAGAAATACGCAATACAGCTTCATCTCGTTCCAGTCACATTTCGTGTCCATTTCGTTTCAACCACATTCCGTCTCAGTCACATTTTGTCTAAGCCACATTTCGTCTTAGCCACATTTCGTTTGAGCCACATTATCTTGCGATTTATCTATAATTAGTGAAAAGAAGGATGATTATAATTTGAAATAATGGCGTGTGTAACGTCGTTCAAAAGCAATCTGTTGACATTTGACATCTCGTATTTTGATTGACTATTGATTAAATGGCCGTCATCTGGTATGATTGTTTACTAAATATGAAAAACTGGCCATGAAAATTTTTGTGCTGAATTTTCTATACATATAAAAATGTGTCATTGAAGTACATCATGAGTATAAATGAAGTGTCCAATGACGAAACTAGGAAGAGCAAGTAGCTGTGCTGTGAATGCATCCAAGACAAGGGGAAAAGAAGGCGAAATTTCGAACTTTTTCTTGAAATAACTCGATAAATAGAAGTTTGTTTACATTTTCATTATCAAATTCGTGTTTTTCAGACAAAAATACGTGAGTAGAAAAAAATAATTTCGAAAAAAAACCCATCGCATGATGAGTACAATTTTACCCTTATGTGGCTGAGACAAAATGTGGCTGACATGAAATGAGGCTGAAACGAGATGTGGCTGAGAGGAATATGCTTAATTTTTTCGATTGGAAATTGAGATAGTATGTGGCAACAGCGCATCATTCGAGTATGTTCGGATTCTGTGGGCCAGACGAGATGAAATGTGGCCGGAAAGGGTTGTGGCTGAGAAGAGATGCTCCCGGCTCCAAGTCTCTGGATGACTTGAGGTTTTCGATTTGTTGAAATATTCAACATCATGTTTTTCCTATATTTTCGATAAAACAGGCCATAGTCGTTAGGGCTATTCGGTAAAATATTGGGATTTTTGACTACACTGACCTCACGTTTTAGTAGCACCAACTGGTGGTGAAAATGTTACGTTACCCGTCAATGAACCCAGGCTTGCAGAAGAGGAGTCATAATAATCTGCCTCTTTTAGCAGCAAAGAGCATATTCCTTCTTCATAGTACAACATTTTGTCATAAGCGGAAAGGATATTTTCCTTCCTCATATTATACAGACAGGGTGTTTCAAAATTCAATATCAAGATTCCAGAGGCCCATTTTTCAGGTCAATCCCTTCTTTACCGATCTACAGAGTGTTAAAAGTTTCAAGATATTTTTTATGCTCTTTCAGTTTTCGAGATATTTAAATTGAATTTGAAACATCGGTTACAGTACCTATGCTGAGTGATTGTCATAAAAGAATCTACTGAGAGACATGTTTTTAGAAGCCGGCCATTTTTGGCTACATAAACCTTTTCGTGATGCGCCGCTGGTAGATTTTAAAATACGAAATGAATCATTATTTGTTCTGTTTATAAACTTTTTTGTCTTGTAATAGTCGAGTGAACAATTTTTTTTATTCCTTAGCTAGAATCATTTTCGGTCGATTTTAAGGTGATAAAATCATCAATATTGCCACAGTTATTTTCAAACGGCAACAAATTTAACGCGTCTTGATTTCGTGAGTAGGGGAAGACCATAGCGCAGTTACCATATGTTGAAATACGAATGCGAACTTCAGAAATATTATTTATTTAATAATTCATAAATTCTCAATTATGTTTTGGTAACCTCCTATCCTAACCTAGCTATGAAATATCCATTGTCTCGTAATTTTCCCCCTTATTGCATATGATGAATTTGTGTTGATATTAATTATATCAATTCACACTAGTGGAGATTTGGTGGGGTAAACGTGACAACACAGGATTGTGGGCGTTCTCTTGTAAGTTCTCAGCGTTTGCCAAGTCTCTAGCCTAGCCAACATTTACATGAGGTTTTGTTATGGAGTAAAAGAAATATTTTAACAAGCTGGTCGAAAAAGCCACAGATTAATGACTATACTATCATGGTTTCCTCCTGTTAGGTCAAATGAAATATTCAATTTGGATAGGAACAACGCATAGACACATTATTTACATAAAAAACGAGTAAGTGTTCCAAAAATTAATTCAGGTCCCGAATGATACAGTGAAGTGATTGAATGCCACTTAGTGGTAGTGACAGTCCACTCGCCCATTCTTAGGCATCTGCGACCGTTATAAAAAATTTTTTTTTTGTAAATTCGCTAGTCCCTAAGTAACCTATGTTTCAAATTCGATCTGAATACATTTATCGAAAACTGAAAGAGCTATGGAAGAAAAAAATATAAAAAACTCGAAACTCAAACGCTCTGTACATCTGTAATGAATCGTTTGCGGACACGTGTTTATAGGAAGAAGCCTTATTTCGACCTCAAAAACAATAAGCTCCTGATATCTTGATACTAGCTTTTGAAACACTGTATCCTCTATTACAAAAGAAAGGATATGTTCGTTCATTTTATTATTAATACGTTTCAAAATTCAGTATAAAGATTTCAGGGGCTTATAAGACTTTCCTATAAACATGTGTCTACAGAACCTTAAAATTTTCAAGATTGTTTTGTTCAACGCTTTTTCAATTTTCGAGGAATTCAAATCTAGTTTGAAATATAGGTTATGTTTTGAGCTTCACATTATCAGTATGTTGAGTGATTGTAACAATCTACAGGGAGTTTTTCAGGGGTCAAGCCGTCCTTTTTCGCTCCATAAAATTTTTTTATGGGAAAAAAAAAAAAAAACGCCACTGCGACGAAACCAAAGTGAACGAGACGTCGTTATATGTCCCTCTCTCTTCTGCGATAAATCAGGGGGATACTCAATTCTGGCCTAGATTTGTACATAGATAGGTAAATTTATTGTACATAAGAGATGCTTAGTTAGAACGAACACAAGCAGAGGTGTACATTGTAAATGTGTTATTTTCCATACAAGCTAATGCATAAATAATATATATTATATATTATACAACTACTTTACTATTGTTTACTGGATTTTACGTAGGGCGACATGAAATTTACATGCGCACTTGTGTTACAGTTGTTGAAGACATGATTATTGTTTATTATGTTTAGCTTAGTTGTACTTTATGTAATTTGTTTATTATTATTATTATTATTTATACCACGGAGCCTTGTAGGATGTTTCTTGTTTCTTTACGTAAAATACATTTGACTTGTAATGTTCTTAATTGTAGATTTGTGGAAAGGTTGATGATTATAAAATATACATTGTTGAATAGAAATACCTTAATATTTAATATTAGAATTTTTATTTCACACATCCTGATGACCGCTTTTTTGGTTCATTTTAAAACTGATTTTAGTAACTACGAGAGGCTGAAGCTATTTTGATACACGAAAATTTGACATTTGTTATTTTTGACATTTTGACACGTTGCCATGACAACCCGATTTTTTCGATTGATAACCTTATGGAAATCTTCATGGTTTGACAACTAGATTTATGTGACATGAATCTATAGCGTATTCGACTTTTGTCTTGCGTGTGTGTTCGGCTGGTATGCACTCAGACAGTAACAATATTATTTCTATTGGACTGAACAGGCACACTCAAGGGTAGAGTTGAATTTATGTTCGACTGCTAGAAGCGCTCGTTATTAATTCGAATGTTTTCACACAATAATTTTAGACGGTGATGGGCTGAAAAATGCTGAAAGATATTGGGTGTTCATTTACATTGTTATGTTCAGATTTCTAAATGAATGTAAAAACTATTAGTCGATAGCAAGATACCTAGAAATTGCAATAAAATATCGGAATACCAGGTATTTGTAGTAAATGACAAAATTGCATACCGACTATACACCATCAAAACCTCTGATTATTCACAAAATGTCTCTATACTTATTAATGCCGCAAATACTTATTCTCTCCATACTTCGAAATTTGAGAAATAATTTGACAATTTGTCAATTTTGAATTGAGATATTTGATAAGATCTAGCTTGATCCAGCCTCAGTATCCAACAGCACGTTGTCCTAAACTCTTCTGTCCATCCTTTCCTAAACATACCAGTCGAATATTCATAATGTCAATATTGAACTTCATCCATACAGTGCCAGAAAATTCGAATTATCGACATGCATCTGCTCTAGCTCTAGATTGGTTGGAACAAAACGAATTCATGTCCGAAGTCAGTGCAGTGCTGAATACGCATCTATACCGTGTCAGTGCAATCCAGTCGAATACGCTAATAGATTTGCATGCAGCCTTGTTCTACTCTAGAGCAAAGGGAAATTGAAATATTTAGAATCAAAACCGAAAAATACAGCTTCCGTTGAATATATGCCTTAAAATTGTTCCACTTCCTCTAGTACTACTATAGTTGATTATAAGCCCAGGACTGAAGTGGCACATTTAATCCCCATGCGAAAGGATCGAACAATTCGCTGATTAAAAATAACTTCATGTGGTTTATATACCAATGTATTCACTTTAGGAGTGGGGAAGCTGAAATAATCAAGAAAATAATGGATGACAGTAAGTACAGTCCTATTAAAAAAAGTGTGTAAGTATATTAGAGAGAAATTAACGTGTCATCCTATTTGCGTAAAACGGGCTATCGGGAATGATTTCTTACCAACTGTTGACAGTAAAGTTGTCATAGGTTATCAGAAATAGAAAGCATTGGCTGAGCCAGTTTTACACAACTAGAACTAGGATGCTGTAGACCACTCTTTTTAATACTTGCGACTGTACTCTTGTACTAATGCTGTACTCTAGTTTCAAAATGTCAACTTTGGCTTGTGTGATTGGTGGGTATAATGTTGTTGACATCCAAGAAAAGTCCTGCTATGCCCATTGAGGAAAAAAGCCAGCATTCTTTTTGATACCTGAGAGAATAATTAAGAGTCACTTTAGTCCTCAAATGAGCAATGAAATCAATTTCATATTTTCAAATAGTGGTAGCACGCGTAATTTTGTGTGACGATGGGATTTTGTGGGACAAGCGAGCCTCATCGCGCAGAACAGAGTCAAACAAAATGCGGTTTCCTAACGAGTTATTATTATTAAAAATGGCTGATTCAAGTTCAGATTTCCAAAGGGATATCAAGCATATTTTTGTTGCATAACTGGTGATAAAATGAATATTTTATCACGTCATGTAATATTTTACTTTACGCAACTGGTTAGGTAAAGTAAGAAGTTTCAAAACTTTCGTCAGGAAAATAATTTTTGTTCTTGTGAGATCATCTCATAATATACTGGCATGATATTGTGGTCAGCCGCAGCCCAAAAATTCACCAGCAAAAAAAATATAGATGACCAACACCCGGTATAAAAATGAATGATATCAACTCTAAAAATGTGACCGAAAGTAATGTATGTACATGGGTCATGTTCCGATATTGCTGACATTACTGGCCACAGTAAGCAATTTAGGAACACTAAACAGTAGCAGTAGCTTTAAATTTTCATTCATTTTCGGAACGATTTTGGCAGTTCTGGTACACTGGCAGCAAAATATAACCATTACCTATATGATCTTTGGATGTTTTGTTTTGTGGTTTTTATTTTCATCTTCTTTACTCACGTTGAAATTATGGATAGATTGATTAATTGTATATTAGAAAACATATTTTTTTACCTCTCCTTCCAGTGATGACGAAATTGAGCATAGCTGTGAAATATTTCAAGATATCAAAAGTGGGGATAACAAACCATATTGTAAGTTAGTGACAGTTTCAGCGTCTACTGCCTGAGATCATCCAGTTCGAATTCATACATTTTCTCAAAGTATAGACTCATACCTAACCATTCATGAATACTTGCACTGCATCACCATTTCTGTACCAGTGGCCTACAGTTAACTTTTAGCCTTCAACAGGGTTCCTTACAATGACCCGCAAAAATGTAAATTTCAGTAAAATCGGAACGATAAAATATACTGGGCAGTACTGTTCGGGAATATCGGAACATGCTCATCGTCCTTAGGGCTGCTAAAAAACTCATAACACGATTTTGTGCTTCGCTCCTGCAACTAATAGCCGCGGGCACAAACAATATACTTTATCAACATGCTATGGTAGTGATGTGGTATAATATTTAAAACATTCAACAGGTATGAATCAACACCACTGGTGCTCTTTCATGTATAAATAAAATTTATAAACAGATAACATGGAATCAATACATACATTTAACTGAACTATCAATACTATCATCATAAATCAATCAAATACGGACTATCTAGAGCTCCGGCTCCTGCTAAGATTCCTCCTTCGTCCATACTGGAAGATTTAGTCCTCACTAGATGCCCCACTTGCTCATTTACGTTGATTTTGTCAGCTGATCTGTGAATAAAATATAGAGAAGTTTAGACAATAGGTGTTGAAAGAGCAAACATTAAATAACTAACATAGATTGAATTCAAACCAGAAAATAGCAGATATATTACGTCCAGATTTAAATAAAAAATTAAAGAATCGATAAGAACTATTTCTTCTGACAATAAAGCATATTTGATGATGATGATGATAATATGTCTAGATTTGACCAGGAGATGAAGATATTGTTTGTTTGAATTTCGCGCTATTCAAAAGGGGGGGCGGGGCCTCAAACCGAATGGTGACCTCAGATTGGTCAGCTGGGTCACGTGGTGTTCTACAATAGCGAAGTGGAAGGGCTGCTCTGAAGCGACGGACTTCCTATCAGAAATCGAAGGAGCAAACATTATTTGGTTTATAAATCAGATGTTGAATATTATATTACTGAAATCCATGGAATTCGACCCAGAAAACAGCAGATCTGAAATTGTTCACTTCATATTAGGACCAGATTTATAAAATGATATTAATGAATCAGAAATGTTTAGAACTTGAAAATACTATTGGATTGAATTTCGCACCATTCAAAACTGGGCTGGGCCTCAAACCGAATGGTGTCCTCTGATTGGCCAGCTTGGTCATGTGGTTTTCTACAATAGTGAAGTGGATGAGCTGCTCTGAAACAACGGACTTCCTATCAGAAGTTGAAGGAGCAAACATTATTTGGTAAATAAATCAGATGTTGAACATCAAATAACTGAAATTCATTGAATTCAAACCAGAAAATAGAAGATCTGGAATTGTTCACTTCATACCAGATTTATGAAATAATATTAATGAATCAGAAATGTCTAGAAGGTGAAAATAATATTGGTTTGAATTTCGCGCCATTCAAAAGTGGGCGGGGCCGAATGGTCTCCTCTGATTGGCCAGCTGGGTCACGTGGTTTCCTACAAAAGGAAAGTGGAAGGGCTGGCATGAAGCGACGGACTCCCTCAAGATTTGGAACCTTCATTTCATCGTTGTATATTTTGATGGCATTGAAAACCACATGTTGTGTGGAAGATAATCAGAAAATGTGGCTTACTGAGAGTTGATTCATAAACTTGTTTCCTAACTAATTTTGCGCATGAGTCAACATTACTCACATCTCTGAATTTAAAAAAATCCAAAAAATATAATAAGTTACTATTTGAAAAAAAAAACGCTGTCGAAAATAGATACCAGTGTCACACCACCTTGTAGCACAACATTTTGCGGTAACTAAGAAAGTAAATAAATTTCTATATTTCTAGTTGAAACAAATCATTTCAATATACACAGAGGCTCACCCGATCAATACACCATATATCCCCAATTCCGATACCATCTCTTTCAGGGGTGGGGGGTTGGGTTGACCCGCTATCACCGCGTACCCCATAACAGTAGGAGGTTGGATTCTTTCCATCATGATCCAAGCAGTCCGTTCTTTACTATTCTGCACTTCCAGCATGAACTTTTTCACGTCTTGTCCATATTTGTTGAAGCCACCACCTTCTCGTTGTGGTTTCAACACAAATCTAAAAACCAACATATAAGATATACACATTTACCGAAAATACCTCTATGATATTTAAAAATTGCCAGCAAGAATGATTGCTGCTTCAATAGAACAGTTTGGGAGTAGAGAAAAATGAGATTTAGGGTCATGATAAAAACATCGCTTTTGATGGTAGGAAAGGTATGGAAGAGAATATCAACTTCATGATTATAATGGCACAGTTTATGGAAATATACTATACCAGTCAAATAACTCTATGAATTCCTTTGATGTTCGAGTATCAAAAGCGATGCGCCTCATTAGGGTCAGCGACAAAAAATTTGTCATTTACCGGGGGCAATCGGAACAGGCGATAGGCGCGTAGAATTTTACCAGGAATCTTCCAAATGTTTGATCGCTGATAGTTCCACTTAGATTCACCATAAAAAATGATTTATGATGATTCATTATATTGATATTGACGAGAAAACAGGAATGAAATGAACATGAAACAATAGAGTATCTTCAACATAATAATAAGGTATACTTGACTGATGAGTATGCACAGTATGTATATCATATTTTGGTTATTGTGAAGCTTCAAGTTTTTCAGGAAGTGACGTCATCTTAGTAATTTTCAACGGGACATTAGTGTATTTTACAAAATATTTTTTTCAGCTTTTCGAACATATGAACAATATTGAAGGTTGGACGGATCACTCATCATGATCACAACCACTGAGAAATGCTTATTCTTATTTTTCATTATTCAATTCTATTATAAAGTTTCCTCACCCTGTACAATGACTGGTAATTTCAGGAGAATATTCTGAAAGCTACTAGTGCCAAATAATCGTCTTTTTTTTAGGTCTACTGAGGATGGTAACTTAGTTGCCAAAATACGTATCCAGGCTTTTCTAAGTATCATTGGGGTATTTTGGTTATATTGTTGAAATTTATTATTTAACCATAGTCTCCAGAATTTCACATCAAAATGTAAGAATAAAAACCATTGTCTTCTTCTAAAAACGTGTATCAATCCCCTACCTTTCTGGTTCACTGAGGGCCATTTGAACAGCCCGTTCACCCATTTCATTGAACTCCAATCCATACAAACCAACAAATAGTTCTTTGATGGCGTTGATTTTGTCGGTTTCTGTCAAGTAACGGTCTACGACTCCAGGTTGTGCTAGGGCTTGTTGAACTTTTTTCTGACCAGCTAAATGGTACAATATACTAGGACATTTTAAGGCTCTAGACCTACAAAAAGAGTGCTTTTACTTTCACTTGTTCATATGTTAATTGCACTATTCTCGATTTATTGAAAAACCAGTTTATTATAGTACTAGTTACTAATTCTAACAGCTCCTGTCACTCAATCCAGATTCCACAGGAGAGACAAAACTCAGTCATAATATCACAATGCAGGTGTGGAAAACAAGGATTATATTATTCGTAAGCAATTATCAATTTTTTTTCTTTTATCTCTTGGAGCGCACGAAATGAAATTCCAATAATGCAAGGAATAATTTCTAGAATTGGATGCCAATGATACGGATTATCACAAAAAGGTCGGAACCTCAATCTTGTGAAAATTGTGGTATAGGACCTGTTAGAATTAAACCAACTAGATGTTTATTTAAAATTTAAATCAACAATGCCTTCGTTCAGTGATATTTTGAATAGATTTTGATTTGTTGATTACTGTGATATTTGAACATTCAAAAAATTAGTTGTAGATGCTTATAAAAAATGACATCAAATTTACGACAGTACATCACCTGACAAAGCTACTGTGTTAGCGAAACATGTTGTGTGTTTGAGAATTTTGTGGAAATCTTATCGTTTGTGAAGTTTTTACATTTGTCATTGATTTCCATCAAGTAACGGTCGAGTCAATTCAAAAAATCAATTATTATTGTAAAGTAAAGTTTTTAATCAAATTTTTCATTTTCGGAACTTCCTGTCAATCAGGAGATTTATAAAAATCTAATATTTATGGGATATTATTTAGACTATATCATATTGGTGTGAGTTTTAAAACTGTATATATAGATATCTTAAATCTGTTTCATATTCACCTTGTATTAAAAATTAAACCACATCATTATTTATTATATAGTATGTATTTTACCTTTCAATTAATAAACGGGCATCCCAGTCCTTCTGAGAAGGGTAATTGGCAGGTTCATATCCTATTCTGAAGTACACTAGACCAACAGTGTACCCATCACTGAAATAATTATTTACATTTCAAAAATAGCACATCAGTCCAATATCATTGATGATGAATTTATAGTTATTATATACCATGGTACAGAAGACATTTTCTAAGCCCAGCTGTATTAGTTATTAGATAAGGGCAAAGAAGCTAGGTGAGAATTGTCTTCTGGGTAAAACTGCATTTAGCATGCGATGGGTTTTTTTTCGAAATTTTTTTTGGTACTTACGTATTTTTGTCTGAAAAACACGAATTTGATAATGAAAATGTGAACAAACCACTATTTATCGAGATATTTCAAAAAAAAGTTCGAAATTTCGACTCCCTTTTCCCCTTGCGTTGGATGCATTTACAGGTACTTGCTCTTGTTATTTTGTCTTTGGACACTTTATATACTCATGATGTACTTCAATGACACATTTTTATACAAAAAATTCAACAGGAAATATGATTTTTATGGTGAATTTTTCCTATTTAGTGAGCAAGCATACCAGATGACGCCCATTTAATCCATAGGCAATCCAAATACGAGATGTCAAATGTCAATAGATTGCTTTGGAATGACATTACACACGCCATTATTTCAAATGATATTCTTCCTTCTTTTCACTAAATATGGATAAATCACAAGAAAATCATATTTTTAGTTGACTCAATAATAGAAAAAAGTGTGTCTAACATTGTGATATATATATATAAATTGTCCAATGATGAAAAAAGAAAGGTAAATTGCGAGGTAAATTGTTTTGAATTTAATCCAGAAGACAGGCGGAAAAGAAGGTAAAATTTGTAACATTATAGTGAAATATCTTGATAAATAATGGTTTGTTCACATTTTCATTATCTAATTCGTGTTTTTCAGACAAAAATACGTAAGTACCAAAAAAAAATTTCGAAAAAAAAACCCATCGCATGCTAAATGCAGTTTTACCGTCTTGTGTACTGTGGTTTATATATTAGTGTTTCCACTATTAGCTCACATTTGCTAATATAATGTTTTTTTTTCTAGCTAAAATCTTCACTTTCTTATGAATAATTCATGTTGTCATTGAAAGTCATTGACAGCAATGACATTCCCAAATGAGAATGCATCCAAGGATGCACAAAAATATTACCTCCAGTGGGCAGTAATAGCTATATTTATAGATCGAGGGAAAAAAAGTATCAATTTCCTACCGCGTGTAGTGTAAGTTTTATGCACGAAAACACCTTTTCAGAGATCAGTTGACTTTATCCCAGATTCCATTTACTCACATGATCAATTCCTTATTTGCATTCAGAGAAGCCCTCTCATATATGTCTGTAAAAGTTCTTCTGAGGACTTTTACACGAGGATTCAATCTTCTAATCTCGAATTCATGCATACGCTGGTCACATATATTATGAGTAATTTCTTCCACAAGGAAAATGATTATCGAATCAGAATCTCCATAAAGTTTCCAGGCATCTAGTAGACCTTGTGCTGATCCAGTTAGAGCATTATTTTCAGGCAACTGAAAATATGTAAATAACTATTTTTCGGCCGAATCTTCGTTATATTATTACACAAGTTAATAAAAAAAAACTAGGAAGGCAGAGAAACCATCAGATTTCTTACAGGATGTATATACAGCACCCAACAAGGAGTTTTCTTATAACGGCCATGTTAGATGTTCGTTTTTATAGGGTGTTTTCACCGTGATATGTGATTTTGCAGACTAAACGTAGGTTGCAATGACAATGTTCTAAATTCTTGGTTGGTATATGTAAGTACAGGGTGATTCAAACTTCCCGCCCTCCGATCATAACAGGAAAAGTAAAACTGCAAATGCAAATTTGGCAGCAGGAATTTGAATAGCTGTGTGTTATTCAAACAGGTCACCTACAAAAAAAGACGTTCCCCTGCAAAACCTGTTGTGATTGGGAACTTAGTCGATCCCAGAGGATGAAGCAACCAGAACAAAAAGTTTATTTACATGCATACAAAATGCACCCTGAAACTAGATTGGAGGACCTCAGTAACATTTTGAAGCCTGTGTTTCCTGAAGTTCTCTGTGAAAAAATAAACTCTATGTTTCCAGATCTCTATGCCTCCTTCAAGGTCTCTATAAATGCTACAAATTATGAAAAAGCCTTGAACCCTTCAGTGTGGCCTAGTGGTACTTGGGTGAATACATTTTTTCATCGCAGGAAGCCTCCCAAGTTATTGAATTAGGTCTCAATCTTCCAAAAATGGATAAGTTCAAGGAATGTAGTGATTTAATCAACAAGAATGAAGATTTATTATTGATACTGCATGTCAATATTCAGTGCATCTCTAACAAGAAGGATCAATTATCCCTTCATCTTGAGAAACATAATTTTTTTGTTATTTTTTTGAGTGAACACTGGCAGGATGAAAATTCATTGGAAACATATGCTTTGAGGAATTATAAATTGGCAAATTATTTTTGCAGGTCTGAACGAAAAAACCATGGTGGTGTCTCTATGTATGTGAGAAATGATGTGAACTGGAGACCCTTGGAACTTGATAGCTATTGTGAAGAATTTCATGCTGAATTTTGTGGAGTGGAGTTGCCCTCTGGTAAAATTGCAATAATCACCTTGTACAGATCCAAAATTCATGGTGAGATTGGTACATTTCTGGAAAAGTTTGACAATCTTTTGATGTTTTTAACGGGTAAATTCAAAAATGTAGTAATACTTGGCGATTTCAATATTAATTTTTCTAGTATGAGCCATGGACTAACTGAACTATTAAATCTCATAACCACATTTGGCCTCGAACCTGCAATTTTTGAAACTACGAGAATTGATCCAATAACGAAGAGAGGAGCATGCATAGACAACATTATCACTAACCTACCAAATCAAAATTTTGTAAGTGGTGTAACTGAGCCCTGTTTATCTGACCATCGTGCACAATACATTGGGTTCACTGCCAATCATTGTATGAGCACAAAAAAAATTCTAAGGAGAAAAATAACTTTAAAATCTTTGAACAAACTGCAAAAAGCTTTAACTAATGTAAACTGGTGTCTCTTTGATGACGAAAACGCTGATGTTAATTTTTTGTCTGATTATTTACTCAATACGTACAAAAATCTTGTGATCAAGTTTTGCCCTTTGAGAGAAATTCCATCTGAAGTTAAACCTCCGATTAACTTCTTCAATAATGAGTTACGTAATATGCGCGATACGTTATCAAGTATAAAAACCATAAGTGACTGCACCAAAAATGATGAGGATAGAAATATCTACATAAAATACAAAAAAAGTATAATGCAGCGATTCAAGCTTCAAAAAAATGAGCATACGACAACTTTATAACAAATTCGTCAAACAAGCCGAAAGCTAGTTGGCAAATTATAAATTTTGAACAAAACAGAGTTAAAAGCAGTATACCAAATGCTAGCACTCTTGCTGCAGACGAATTAAATGTATTCTTCTCAATTGTTGCTGAAGAAGTATTAAATGATTTAAAACCAACCGAAAGATCGGCTACTGATTTTTTGACATTCAAGGGAAATGGAATCCTAATGCAAAAGTTCATTTTGACAAAAGGCTTCATAAAAGTACCTCGAAAATGGTTTTTTTACAGCGATTCAATGTGCGCAAGACGCGTTGAAAATGTTCTGTTGTGTCCATGAAAAGGTTTTAAAAAGAACTAGGGAGAAGGTAGTTTTGTGACATATCAAAGGACATCTCGATGCCTGCAGCGGACATTGGCTGTTCTATAATAGTTCTATTCATGTGTGAACAGAACATCGCAGTGGAGGTTCAATGTCTCGAAATCCCGTACTTTTAACATCTCTGAGATGTTTTTGTGCTCGCAGGTACATTACATATATGGTTGTAAATAATATGTCTTGCCATTCCCAATCTTTTCAAATATTACTCACATTTTTTATTTTATCATGATGGCCTAATTCTTCTAAGATATACCTAAAATGTGAATTGATTATTTATGCAGAAATCATAATACATTCAAAAATATTCACCTATGAAATTGTGATATACAGGGCCCTATTCCACTGAAACTGGCGGAAACTGTATTCAATTCTACTTGTTTTAGAACATTATTTGATGCACTATGTAATAGGTAATCAGATCGAAACAATCCGACACTGATAGCCTGAAAAATATATGAATACAATTTCAGAAATAGTCAATCGAAAGATGCACATAACTGTCAATATATCATAAAATCAACAATAAAAAACACTATGGAGTTGCACAGGGTAACTCACGGCCGATAGTAGGTTAGACGTTTATGGATAACACAATGCAGGATTTATCTGAAAAAAATCCCATCTTATATTTTATCACCTGTTCTAATTGAGACGTTGCCGTTTCTATAAAAAGTCCTAGAAACTTCATTTTTTCAAATGGAACAATACTCTTTTGTTGATAAATCCCTATACCTATCTATATTGCTTTCGAGATAAAAAATAATTTGTGGTAAATATGATCCAAAACATATTTCTAATTCATGAAGAGTTGATATTTTAGGGGTGGTTTGGAGATGCTTGATGTATTCAATTCACACCGAGAAATAGCCTCCATATCATACAGGGCGTGCTGAAATCATTATTATATCCGTTGTTCATACAATTGGTCAAAAGTTCATTTTTTTAAATGGAACCCACTGTTTTATACTCAATAAATTGAAGGACAAAGAAAAATGCTACAAGATGACATAGCATGTTCCTATACCTAAATCATCAAGTTTTCTTAATGAAGCTGCTTTTTGTGATAAATACAATTTTATGAAGACGTTAATTTTAGATAGCCATGGAAATATCAAACTCATGACAGTGACATTAATGAGTAATTCAGTAATTCTTATTGACAGTGGTTAAAAAAATCTCACAATGTGATTAAATCATTGCCAGAACTTGCCGAAAACTCCTCGGAAAACTCAACCAAACGATTACAAAATAATTTTTGACCACTTGTTTGAACAACGGAAGTAATAATAATTTTAGCACGCCCTGTATGATATGGAGGCGATTTCTCGGTGTGAATTGAATACATCAAGCCTGTCCAAACCACCACTAAAATATCAACTATTCATGAATTTAGAGCCCTGATTTACTCAAGTTCAATTAGGGATATGCTTTGGATCATAATTAACTCAAATAATTTTTCATCTTGAAAACCTATAGAGATAGATATAGGGATTTATCAACAAAAGAGTATTGTAATGAAAAGGCAATTCTAAAAATATATTGACATACCGGGTGTTCTATTTAAAAAAATGAAGTTGCTAGGACTTTTTTATAGAAACGGCAACATCGCAATTAGAACAGGTGATAAAATGCAAGATACGAAACGTCTAACCTACCATCGACGGTGAGTTACCTTGTATTAACAATGAATTTGTTTTAGATGGTTTCAGTAAAGTAATAAGTTGAGGAATATTATGTTATTAAACCTCTTATAATACTCACTTGACATATGCCTTCTTCTCTCACTGCTTCATAAATTTTGAACAAGTTTGCACTGAAGTCATCCACCTCAATAGCATCTTTAAAACACTCTTCTAGAAAAGTATGATCATGAGCCACTCTATGCATCAATTCATTCAATACTGTTTGAAGTCTAACCACCTTATTGAATTCTTTCCTAGGAATAGTAGATGGCAATACAATGAATGGTACAATTTGAACTGTATCTTCACTGTAATCATTTTTCTTTCTCATTGCACAACCATGGGCAACCATCCAATCTTTGCTTTTCGATACAGTTTCTTGTAGTAATTCATTTGGTATAGGTAGAGGAATGTGCCTTGGTAACATATTCTGAGACATCCTGGAGGTTGATGATTTTAAAATTAGGAATCTTTTATACTATCTGGCTCCTTAACAACTATTATATTAATGTAAATTATTATGGGAATTACTAGCATTATATAGTCAATGGCATTACCTCTCTTCTAAGGGAATACCAATAATTGAGAGTGAATTAACATAACATGTTTGACTATGTAGGTACTTCTATGATAAGTTATTTATCATTCAAGGTTGCCTGTTCATTTTTTGTTATTAGTAAAGAGTGCATGCATGAATATCTCATCCTCCAAAATTTTGCCAGTCATTGTTAATAGCAATAATAGCATCATATAATTGATAAAGATTCTGAATTGAAATTGACTTGAATTCAAATAGGATTATATCATTTATTATACAAACTAATTCTCTACAATGATGACAATTTCTTTTCAGTTCTCAGTATAAATGACAAGGCATTGTATTGTAGTAGGCACTTTCATGCGATTCCCCACCTGCTATTAATTATAAGTCATGAATGTTTGTAAACTAATACATTCATTATGTCGACAAATGTACATTGTGTATACAGGGTGAGTCATAACTATTGGGACATAGGCTAAGGGCGGATTGTTTGGACCAAAATATGGTAATAGGACTAAATATGCCTTTATAGAATATTGCTGTGGAAAAAGATATCTCGGTTTCTAGCATCCAACGACAGTGGCGGCCATTTTCACCAAAACAGTACCAACGATAGCAAGTAATATTTTTTTAATTAAATTATTATAACACAAGGAATATAAAAACAACGTCAATAATATTCCAAATGGCCAATCAGCAATTTGTGTTGAAACTATAGCCAATGAGACTTCACCTTCACATTACCCAATAAATTTTTGGATCTAAAAAGGAGCTCATGCGTCTGAAAAATATATCTAGATGAAAAGGCGTATAAAATAGCTAATTCTATGCTAATTAATTACCTTATTTTCAAAATGTTTGCTCCATGTTTTTTGGAAAAAAGAAAACGATTCATAGGCATTATGCATTTCTATCTAAATCCTATTTTATGATGATGGTATTGACTGTAGGCTCAATAACTATCCGATTTCGGATTTTTTTGCTGCATAATATTTTATCAAAGAAACCTGTGGCATTGCTAGCTTCAGGTGAACTCTGCAGAGCCATTTTTGATAAAATATATTTTTCATTGATTTGATATATTGGTATTGAGAGGCTATGTTAAGCCAATTAATTACCCTATTTACAAGTTTTTTACTCAGTTTCAAACAAAAAAATACGAAAACGAACTCCCACTTATTCACTTTACATTAGGCCATTCAGTTCATTGTACCAGTATTTCAGCTGAAGAAGCTATTGTGTTAGTGAAACATGTTTTGTGTATTAAGAGTTTTGTTGAAATTTTATGGTTTGTGAAGTGTTTTTACCTAGGTTTTTACAGTTATATTATAGGTGAAGAGTAGACTCTTGAAGAGTCTTCTCTCCAATCATTTTCCAAAATGATTTGCTCCAAGGAAGTATAGGTAGGCATTGTTGTTTTCTTGAGTGGATTAAGAAAAAAAATGGTGCATGAGTGGATTTTGTTCCCCAATTCCCATTAATGTACAGATTAAATTCCCACAACAGATCTTTAATAAAATTCACTTCAATTTCCATGAAATAGGTAGGTACTGAGGATTTAATTCCCTCATCAATTCTTTATAAATTCCCACCACTTTATACTGGGAAAAAACTATATCACCAACTCTGGATTTTGATATCCTTATTTAGATCAAATAATAATCCTAGTTATAAGCATTTCAACTTATTACCATACCTTACCTTGTTCTGATCTAGATGTCTGACGTTTGGTTTTGGGCTGGAGCTGGAAGTTGAAGAAGTATTCGTCGTCCACCCCCGGTTTTTCTCGGATGGATTGAAATAATAAACTATTTTAATTAGAGTACACAATATTAGTGGTAACTACTGTATGAGTTTGCTATTGCTAATCTGAGGGAATGTTTATGCTGTGAAGTGGCTTATTCTTATTATAGCTGTGAAGTACTTAGTTGTGGTCAGTTGTGGTTGTGCCACAGTGCCACAGATTGATGTGCTGATCTGATTGAGTGATTGATTAGTGATTGCTGTGTATCGGTATCACAGTGACACAATGTTGTCAATTCATTGCATTGCAGTGTCACAGCTGTCTGAGCTGTCACATCGTCACATGGTATCAGGCCCTTTCTTTTGTACGAAAAGTGTAGCACATTCGTACACTTCGTTTAATTTACACCGAATTTGAGCATTCTTTTGAAAAGTGTATTTCACACCAGTGTAGTTTATCTCCACCTAGTCTTGGGCAGGTGTGAACTACACTCGAATTCAAGAATATATAAAATCGCGTTAAATCACTCGGAATACATCTGTGATTATATTATTTATAATACATAAACACCTATACCAGAAAACCAGTTACATCGAATACCGCATTCAAAAATCAAAATTGCACTCTTCCTCTTCAATTCAATTTTCTTCGTTCGTTTGAAATTCCTTGGGCCTTTTCTTTTGTACGAAAAGTGTAGCACATTCGTACACTTCGTGTAATTTACACCGCATTTGAGAGTTCTTTTGAAAGGTGCATTTCACACCAGTGTAGTTTATCTCCACCTGCAGTGGGACTCTGTAACTTGTGTCGCATAGCGAAAGCGTAGCGAAAGCGAAACGAAGCGAAGTATACGACTTCGCTTTCCGGTACTCTATATTATGTAGTTCGTTATGCTTTCGCTATCGTCATACGATTTCGTACGAAATAGAACGAAGTTGGTGGAGTTAAATTTGGCAACAGTGTTGCGGATCCCATTTATTCAAAGGAAACATCCCATTGGATCAAAAAAGCGGCATTTACGAATTATTGTATTGTCAATTTTTGGTTTCAATCAGAAATAAAGCACTTGCAGCTCATTGGAAAATATGTACCTTACTTTATAAAAAATTGGTATTTATATTCTCACTAGGTATATCTCAGGTATAGCTTTCTATTTATATGCAACTAGTAAAGGCAAATGATCTGAGAATAACAATAATATTGTAAGATATGTAACTGCTTATATTTATAATGGACATATCATTCTATAATCTAACACTCAGTATATTATTATTCACATACTATAATGTAATACCTATCAGAACTTGCTTCTCTATGTCGCAAATTAAACAAGATGATAAGCACATATAATTCCTTGAATTGCCTTCTGCAAGGCAGCTATATGTTGACAGTGCATTTATACAGATGCACTTTTTCTTACAGTTCACTTTAGAATCTTGGATGGAATTATTAATGTAGTGAAAGTAGAATCCGTTCTTGTTCTTGTTCAACATAGTAAATAATGTTCAGTTAATCCTGTTTCATGGAATTTACTCTTGATTCTCCCTTATTGGTACACAGTAATATTACACAGTTCTTCTTGGGTGTCTCCAAGGTTTTTGCTATCCAAATTATTTTTCCTTCCAATGCACTTATTATGCAAATTTTTCAAATTTGAACGTTCCAGGCTTTCTGTTATGTTTCACTGTTGTAGGTATCGGCATATTATATTAGTAGGATTCTTCAATTACCTATTATTGTCTTCTTCAATGGACTCACACCAAAGACATATTTTTCTTAACAAGGATTCAGTGAGACAACATTCAGTAATGGCACATTTCATTTTTTGGAGAAGCTACTTATATCTGCCTGTTTTGATGTATCAGGAATCTAAAAGAGAAGGATAATTCGAATGAATATGAATTATTCCAGACCCTATTCAACAGCACTAATGACAGTTTTCAGTTTATTTTTCAACTACCAAATGAACTGTATGTTTTCATCACACTGTCTATCATATTTTTTATCTCACGTCTCACGTTCTTTCATCCCCTACCTTAATCCTACCAAAGGGAACTTCCATCTCTCTGGAATATCTTTAGGACTTTGTTCGTAAAACTGAGGAATCTGTCCCACTGACTGAAGTTCTGTTTTTGCTCGCTTTGTTATCCATGTTTGGGTTCATTCGTCATTTATCAATCTATTATTTTTCTCAAATCAACACAAAGTTTGAACTAGGAACAACAACAAAAACCAATACCTATAACCTCAATCGTTGAGAATCGCAGAAAGCGGCAACCAAAATCCTTCGCTTCTGCTTCGCTTACGAACTCACGTTCGGCGTCTCCGACCTCATCCGAATATTGATACAGAGTACCGAAACGGCAAAAGCAGTCGATTACGCATGCTTTCGCTTTCGCTTTGAGTTACAGAGTCCCACTGCTGGTCTTGAGCAGGTGTGGATTACACTCAAATTGAAGCATGAATAAAATTGCGTTGAATGACTTGAAATACATGTGTGATTATATTCATGATAGATGGACACCCATACTGGAAAACGAGTTACATCAAATACCGCATTTAAAATTCAAATTGCACTTTCCCTCTTCAATTTGAATTTCTTCATTCGGTTGAAATTCGTTAGTGTAGCTGCACGCAATATCAGCTGATTCATAGTATAGTGCATTTTACATGACACTGAAATGCAGACGAAAGAACCTACTGAAAAGCCGACGAAAGAACCTAGTATCACACTTCATACTGCATTACCACAGATTACTTCATTGACTAGTGACTTGTGACCAATGAACTCAATATAAACCAAGGTCTTAACTTAAACAACTGGAAGGGACCACAGAACTAAAACACAGAGGAAAAGGGAAAAACTGTATTATGATCTTGTTTCAGCAAGAAGAACAAATATGGCGGCGAATGCCCCTTAGCGAGTCTGCGCATTACTGAATGTCATCTGTCAGCTTTTGTGTTTATTTGGTGTTTATTCACAATTTTCCGTTTTCTGCATTTTTTCAACGTTTTCGATCAGTTTTCATTATGCCTTCAATATGATTCATTGGATTCTTCAGCAGTAGTGGCATATTTCCAAATATATATACTATTTTCGGTAAACAATGTTTTTTTAGGTTAGTAAACAGACCAGGCTTGAAAATTTTTAAGT